TGGTGGGTGGGTGGATGGATGGGTGGGTGGATGAGTGGATGAGTGGATGGTGGGTGGGTGGATGGATGGGTGGGTGGATGAGTGGATGAGTGGATGGTGGGTGGGTGGATGGATGGATGGGTGCATGGATGGGTGGGTGAGTGGATGGATGGATGGATGGGTGCATGGATGGATGGGTGGGTGGATGGATGGATGGGTGCATGGATGGGTGGGTGAGTAGATGGATGGGTGGATGAATGGATGGGTGGATGGATGGTTGTGTGGATGGATGGATGGATGGGTGGGTGGATGGATGGATGGGTGGATGGATGGGTGGGTGGATGGATGGATGGGTGGGTGGATGGATGGGTGGATGAGTGGATGGTGGGTGGGTGGATGGATGGATGGATGGATGGTGGGAGGGTGAGTGGATGGGTGGGTGGTAGGGGGGATGGGTTTTGGATAGCTGAATGGGTGGATGGCAGGGTGGATGGATGTGTAGATGAATGGATGGGTGGATGGATGGATGGTTGTGTGGATGGATGGATGGATGGGTGGGTGGTGGGTGGGTGGGTAGATGGATGAGTGGATGGATGGGTGGATGGATGAGTGGATGGATGGATGGATGGATTGGTGGGTGGATGGATGAGTGGGTGGGTAGATGGATTGATTGGTGGGTGGATGGTCGTGTGGATGGATGAGTGGGTGGGTAGATGGATTGATTGGTGGGTGGATGGTCACGTGGATGGATGAGTGGGTGGATGGGTGGGTAGGTGGGTAGATGGATCGATGGATGGATGAGTGGATGGATGAGTGGATGGATGGGTGGAGGGTGGGTGAGTGGATGGGTGGATGGATGGATGAGTGGGTGGGTAGATGGATTGATTGGTGGGTGGATGGTCGTGTGGATGGATGAGTGGGTGGGTAGATGGATTGATTGGTGGGTGGATGGTCACGTGGATGGATGAGTGGATGGATGGATGGAGGGTCAGTGAGTGGATGGGTGGGTGGTAGGGAGGATGGGTGTTGGATAGCTGCGTGGGTGGGGAGCAGGTAGAAGGGTGGGTGGGTAGAGTCCGTGTCGGAGGCTGTGAGCTACACCACACACTCTTCCCCCAGTTGGCACACGTGATTTAATTCATCCTTCTGACACAACTTTCAATCTTCTTCCTAACTCTCTGTAGGGTTCCATTGGATTCCCTGGATTTCCTGGTGCCAATGGAGAGAAAGGCGGCAGGGTAAGGACAGCCTGGTCTCTAGTCAAGCAGTTCGTTCCACTGCCTTGGTATTTAACGGGTTGGTTCTCCAGTCAACGGCCTGTTTATTTCTCATCCATTTTGCTGCCAAAACTGCTTTCCAGAACAGCCTCCCTTAAGCTCTTTCCAGACACGAGGCTGGGCAGGCATAAGACAGGAGAGGCAGCGGGCAGGAGAGGAGAGTGTGCTGAGATCTAATCACATGATCCAGTGCTCCTTCAGGTCCTTAGTGAGCACCAGATCCTTCTCTTCCTTCCCAAGGTGACTTTTCCTCCAAGCTAATTTTAAGAGGAAGGGAAAAAAGGAATTATCTTTTTTATGTCCCGCCACCTCCTCTAGTTCAAATTCAGGATGTGTCATTTCTTCCTGGTTATTAGCAGGCTGCCACCGTTGTAACACCTGCCATGGTGCATGTATGTGGCTTGGGTCCCCTTTGCTATTTCTCTGAACAAAGGTGCTCCGGGCCTGGGCGGAGGGAGCTGTGTTCTCCCCACTTGCTGAAGTCCCTGATGGCCCAGGAGCTGCCCAGGATGCCCCTGGGTGAAGTCACAGTGCCTGAGCATGACCATTCAGGAAAACCGGAGCAAGATAGTCATTTGGGGCCTTGGACCAGAGCTGGCCCTGCCCCAGGCATGTGGGGGACAGGGAGGCATGCCGAGGTGTGCGTGCTGGCAGCGTCTGCAGAGCAGACCTGGGAGGACCCGCTCCTCAGAAGGACGGCTGCACTCTCTCAAGCTGTGGCTGCCTAGCCCCAGTCTGCACCCCGCCCCAGGCGCAGACGGAGCCCCCGGACGCAGCTCCTTGGAGCGTGCTGGTCGTTGTGAACGCTGTGTTAAAGCAGAGTCGGTGTGCTCCCTGCAAGGCAGGGAGAGGGACTCCAAGACCTGTGAGCACACAGTGCATCCTGCCAGATTCAGAAAAACGGGGACTGTGCAAGTCGACGGCATGGACATCTCTGTCATCTACCTGTCACCTGTCTAGTATTGATCTATCTGTGTCTGTCTGTCTGCCTGTCACCCATCCGTCCCCATCTGTCATCTGTTTTCTATTACCTGTCTACCTTCTGCTGTCCATCTGTCTGTCTCTATCGCCTATTGTTTTATGTACCCATCTGCATCTGTCTGTGTCGGCTAGCTGTCTCCCGTCTGTCTCTGTCTACCTGTCTACCTGTCACCTGTCTATTATTTATATCTATATCTATCCACCTGTCACCTGTCTATTATTATCTCTATCTATCTGTAATTCTTCTGCCTGGAAACAGTCTGACTGATGTCTCTGGGGAGAAGCTGGCCTCTGGAAGAGTCACAGGTGCCACTTGTGACAAGTGGCTCAGGATCGCGTAAGCATGGGGAACACTGGGGTGACCAGGATGGAGAGGTCCTGTGCTGGGGACCTTTCATGCTACACTGTAGTGAGAATCTCCAGGAGAGGGATGTGGCCTTTAGCAGCTGGTAGTGTGGCCACAAACCTCTTCCATGGGAGAACATGTGGCACCAGGGATCGAGGCCCCCCCGTGGGTCTCAGCTTACCTCCCGGGCTCCTGACTGGCACTCTGCCCCTCACACTCTTGGCCTCCCCATCCCTGAGATGAGGAGTTTGGACAAGTGCTCTGGGTACCCACGGACCCCCACTGGCCGTTGACTTGGGCTTCAGTGCTGTGGGTCCCCAGCCAAAACACAAAGTCTGAGTCAAGTAAGACCTGCCAGGCAGCTGCCAGGTGCCCTATGCCCTAACCGCAGATGGGAGCGAGTCACAGCCTCTGCGGCATCCACGACCCTTGTGACATCTAAATGTCCAGCCCGGGTGGGGGACATTCTGTCCGCTGCTGCTCCGTGATCTGGGCACAGCTCACGACACAGACTTCAGGCCGGGAGCACGAGGCCATTTGTTTCCCTGCGAGCACGCGGTGCTGGTGTTTGATGCATCCTGAGGTGGAGCCCTGGCCATCTTTATCTCCCATCACAGATAATCAGGGCCTCCTGGTCAGGAGTCTGAGTACAGTTGTCACATGAGAACTGTCTGTGCTGTCCCCACTGCAGAAAGATGTCCAAAATTCTGGGGCAGTTTTTGTGACGGGGCCATTGCTCTGTGCCTGGTGCTGGGAGTGACAGGGAAGGTGGGCGCTGTCGGGTCCACAAGGCTGGGCCAGTCCCTCCTGATGGTCTGCAGAGGCTGGAGCCGGGCTGTCCTTGCAAACGGGCCTGTCCTCTTTTGTTCACTGGTGATACCTCATGTCCAGTCACCCAGAGGCCTCTGGATGCAGCTTGTCCTCCGGGCCTTGGTGAACAGACGCTGTCTCCCAGGTCCGCTGCGGTGGCTGTCTTCGTGCCGCCCTTGGGCTTTGGACTTCATAGTCACAGGCGTTTCATCTGGAGGCAGTTCATTTACTTAAACACACATGTTGCTTAAGTCCTTCTGAGTGCCAGCAGCTTTGCCAGGCATTGGGGACTCAAGAGATCAAACCAGATGTCCCCCACCATCCAGAGAGGAACACCCAATGACCAGTGCTTGTAAAGGATGAGCGTTGTGATGAAGGACCAGGGTGACATGGGGGCAGTTCACAGAGCCAGAGGCTAACCCCAGAGGTCCAGGGAGGCTTCCTGGAGGCAATGACATTTCTGCTGAGACCTGTACGAGGGACGGAAGTTGGAGATGTGGGGTAGGAAAAGTGGGCAGAGGACAGGTGGGGAGGCGGCAGGAGCCGGCAGGAGGCTGGCACGTGGCTGAGCCCAGCAAGCAGACACGTGGCCGGGGAGAGGGCTGCGGAGCCCGGCCAAGGCCTTGTTGTCACTTCAGGGGGTAGCTCTTTATCCCAGGGCGGCAGGGACGTATTGAAGGGGTTAGGCAGGGGAGTGACAAGGGGAGATTTTTAAAATTAGCCCTGTTCCTGTGTGGGGAAGGGACGGGAAGCCAACAGGAGGGCGGTGAAGGGACAGCTGCTGGGAGGGCCGTGCTCTTCTGGAGAGCTCTTGGGGTGTCTCTTGGCTGTTCTGGCCAGGCGGGTGCTCCTAGGCGCTGCGATGCTGGGCGTGACCGATGTGTGTGTGGACAAGTGTGTGTGTGTCTGCTTCCCGTCCGAGGGCTGCCTGCCCTTCTGTCTGCCTGGTCCTCACTTCTGCAGAGCTAGTGGCTTGGTCCCATGGGCCGTGAAATGTGGGTTAGATGTGACAAACACCAGGAACATATCTGAGTTGCAGCATAGAGCCAGCTGTAGCCAAAGCAGGAGAAATGGGCCTGAGCAAAGCGGTGGCCCCTCACTGGCCTTTGCCTTGGGCCAAGGCGGGTCCCAGGAGGCCCTGCCCGGGAAGAGGACTGGGCCAGGCCTTTGGAAATACCCACCAGTGACCAGAAGACTTCTACCTGTGTTTGCCTCTTGGCTCGAGCAAAGAACATCAGCAAAGCTTCTTCTGGGACTGTCCGTTCTTTCCAGGGAGGACGGGAAAACGGGAGCTCTCATTTGCTAAGGACACTGTTTTGGAGGCTTGCGGGATATTCTGTTTAACAGCGTCACTTACCATGACCCAGAACTCTTCAGCTGGGTTCATTTACAAAGAAAACTGATGAGCGGGATGCCACTGGGAGGCTCAGTTGGAATTTGTGGCCGAGACTGTATTCTGCTCCTGCCAAGACCCAGTGCATATGCCTTGGGTGCGACTAGTGCAGGTCATAGCTGAGAGCCATTTGTGCTGCCAGGTTAGAGCCTCGGCGGGTCAGGGTGGTACTAAGTTAGGGTCAGGGTTTTTTTTTTTTTTTTCCTTTTTGTCTTTTTTTTTTCGTGACCGGTAATGGGATCGCAACCCTCGGTGTCGTGCCCGCACCGCGCTCAACCAGTGAGCGGACCAGTCTCTATATGGGATCCGAACCCTTGGCGGGAGCGCCGCCGCACTCCCAAGCGCTGCACTCTACCGAGTGCGCCACCGGGCCGGCCCAAGGGGTTTTGTTTTGATGGGGGGTGGGAGTGAGAAAACCTGGCAGCCAGGGCTCATCCGAATGCCAAAACGTAACCAGGGTTGGTCATGGGTAAAACATTTATCATGTGAAGAAAGCAGATGTTTCATTAATTTTCATATGCAAATATTTACTTGAAGCCAGAGGATATTGCTATATAATTAAAGCACTGGAGCCAGAGTGCATTGTTAAAAAGCAACATATTTAACTCATCATTATAAATGGTTTTATTAAATACATTTCAAAATGGGGGGCTTTAGAAAGCAGTTTTGATTCTGGCAGCAAATGAATGAAGCATGCTGCAGGAGAGCTTATCAGGGGGGCTTCAGCAGTGCAGATCTGTCTCAGGCTTTGTCGTGAGAAACCAGAATAAATTTCAGGGAAAGGGTTTGAGAAGCGGTGGAGGTGCAGGGCTGTGCTCAGCCTGTGACTTCCACGTGCTGCAGGTAAGCTGCATTTTCCAGCTGTTACAGCTTCGCTTTGGGAAACAACGAACGCGGTGCATTTGTTTTCTTTGGTTTGGAAAATGCAAAACAATAACAGAAAAAGGGTCTAAATTCTATTAGAAGAGAAGCAGGTGACTCTTGGATATAGGACTTATATATTAAATTGCAAGTTGCTTGTCTGCAGAGCCTGCTGAAAATTTAATGGCTAATATTCTTAACTGTAGCGAAAGTAAATTATGTATGAAAGGCATCGACTTTCTTCTCTTTTCTTGCAATAATGATTTCCCCCCTGCTGAGATAGAGAGGAGCAAGGCGGGAGCGAGCAAGGCGGGGAGACTGAGATGAGGGGAGGGAGGCGGGCGGAGATGCTTTGAGGACGGAAAGCCAGATAACGGTAGTAAACATTCATCAGGCTGGAGGAAGAAAATTGGATTTCAGCAGAGCTGTGCAGGAGTGCGGGGCTCTGTGTGTGACTGTGCAGGGGCGTCCTCGCCCTGATAAACCTCCTATTCAAGCGAAGATGTTGAAGTTTTTCCCAGCCTTGATCTTGCATTCACCCAGGGGAGGGACGTCACCTAAGCAGTGCCAGGCATTTCAAGTGACTGACCGTCCCTCTTCTCTGATTCTAGGGCACTCCTGGGAAGCCCGGACCACGGGGGCAGCGAGGCCCCACGGTAACCATCCTTTTGGCTGGAGGGCCGTCTTGGAGAAACCGGAGCACGTGTGGGGATGGGGGAGGTGGTCTCCACGAGTCTGAGCTACTTGGGCTGAACTCCCTTCTCTCCTGTGTGTCCAGGGTCCGAGGGGCGAGAGAGGCCCGCGGGGCATCACGGGGAAGCCCGGCCCCAAGGTATGTGTCTGGTCCCCTCTGTGGTGGCCGGCATGAGCTGAGCTGCAATGCTACAGAGCCACTGAGCACCTGCGGGCGGCCCACGTCCTTTTCCATTTGAAAAATAAATAGGTTTTCTTGGGAGTATTTAAGAAGGAGCTGGTCTCCTCCAGTAGCCTCAGGACAGTTAGATCAAGCTGAGCACGTGCCTAGGGCGGCACCCACGGGGCAGGGTTTGTGGCAGAGCAGAGGCAGGACCAGCCCCCTGCCCACTGGCACCTAAGAGAGCAGCTCCGTGGCCCTGGGAGACCAGGTCCAGCCATAGATCACCTAGTCCTAGTGGGGAGACCTTACTTATGGAAAAGGGGTTCGAAAGCTGCAAAGAGTTTTTTTTTGCTAGAAATCTGTAGAAAGTTCTCTCTGGCACGGGTGAAATCTTCAAACATACTCTCCACTGAGACGTGTTGAAGCCAACTCTTCCGATCATGAATCTGGAAGCAAACCTCAGCCCGTGGGCTGTGCCTGCCCTGTCTAGTAAACTCCAAAGTAGGCCCCTGCCGGCTGAGTGTTAGAGGTGGGAGGACACGCGAGCTCTGGGAGCCGTGGGTCAGCGCTGATGTGCTCTGCCCTGCACAGAGGGTCGAGGCCACCCTGAGAAGAGCAGCAGACAGCATGGACTCAGCATTTTTGATGAAGTCGTGGGCCAGACTGTTTAATAATAGTAATAAGCTTTTCTCTGCTCTCCCTCCCTTCCAAGGGCAACTCTGGCGGTGATGGCCCAGCCGGGCCTCCTGGCGAACGGGTAAGCGCCTCCAGCCCAGCTCCTGCCTCCAGTGTGCCCTCCGCCCATGGCAGGGTGGGCTGGGGACAGTGGGGCACACCTCCACCTGCTGAGGGAGAGGGTTTCCTCAGGTCCCGGCAGAGCCTCATTCCCTGGGAGTGACGGCTTCCGTCAGTCTGAGATGTGTCCATTTGGCCTGGGGTGGGGTTTGGGAGGTGGCTCGGATGTCCTCGGCCCTGCCCTAACCCTAGGGCCCTGTGACCTTGCTCTGTGACCCCTGATGGGGCCTCCTGTTTCTCATAGGGGAGGGAGGGGCTGGAGTAAAGTGAGAAAGGTCATGAGGGCAGTGAGAAATGACGCCTGCGCGCAGAGCGCCAGGGACACGGTGAAGACAGTGCGGGGTAGGGGGAGCTGCTGGGTCCCGACATGCTGGGGAGAGGACTTCTGTCCTCACTCTGGCCATTCTCTGTCCTCAGGGACCCAACGGACCCCAAGGACCCACCGGGTTTCCTGGACCAAAGGGCCCCCCCGTAAGTAGTTTCTCCTTGCTGGGCTGGCATGGGTTGGCAACTCCGGCCATGTGTCTTGGGCACGCTTGTCCTTCCCACAGGCTCTTCACAGTGGGCTGTGGGAAGGGAGGCACGTGGGGGAGCTCTGGTGGGGTCAGCACGAGGGGAACAGCCTCCCGGCTGACAGGCAGTTTGCAGCCATAGCCATCTGCCCGGTCCTCCTGCGCTGGAGAGAGCTGCACTAGGGATTCCTTTCTCACCTGGACCATCGTGATTTTCCAGCTGGCGGCTGTGTTAGTGTCCTGTGGCTGCCATAACAAATTGCCAAAAACCAACAGAAATGTATTCTCTCACAGTGCCGGGGGCCAGAGTCTGAGATGGAAGTGTCAGCGGGGCTGGTGCCTTCCGCAGGCCGTGGGCGTGATTCTGTGCCTCTCTCAGCACCTGGTAGCTGCTGCCGTGCTTGGGGCCCCCTGGCTTGTAGACGCATCGCCCTGGTCTCTGCCTCTGTCCTCATGTGGCTTCTCCTCTCTGTGGCTCCCTGTGTCTTCAGATCTCTCTTTTTGTAAGGACGCCAGTCACTGGAGTGGGGCCCACTCTCCTTAGTGTGACTTCATGTAACTGGGTTACGCTGGCAAAGACCTTATTTCCAAGTGAGGTCACAGGCACAGGTTCCAGGAGTTAGGACTTCAGCATGTTTGGGGGGACAAAATTCTACTTATAGCAGGTACAATATATTTCTTCTAATACCCCCTAAAACGGAAAGGCATCCGACAGTGGGGATTACTGCCTCACGGGGCGTGAGAGTGGCCAGTGGCCAGGAAGGAGTGCGACTTTCAAGCCAGGCAGACTTGGGTCCCAGCACGGCTCGAGCCACCCAGCTGGGCCTGGGGACTGGCCTCTCCCTGGGAGGCAAGGATGATAATTGTGTTCTTAATTTTATCATCACTGTCACTGTGACTGTGGGCGATCCCCTTTCTCAGAGGAAGTTGAAAGCAAGAGTCATTGAAATCAAAGGGTAATTTTGTTGCCACCCGTGGCATTAAATCCTGAAGGTGGGTGCTTCTCAGAACTGAATGAATCTTCTTTCCTTTGATTCTTTTTTCAGGGCCCCCCAGGCAAGGATGGGCTCCCGGGACACCCTGGACAGAGAGGCGAGACTGTGAGTATTGTATTTGCTGGCTGCCCCACAGCCCTGTGCATGGACGCTCCATGTGCTGCCCCCCACGGTCCAGGAGGACCCTCCGGGCTTGGGAGAGAACTATCAACCTTGGGAAGGCTTCTCAAGGACTGGGCCATCTTCTGTTGACTTGGGGTCAGGCTGTGGGGGGACCCTGATGCAGAACAGCTGTGCAGGCCAGCAGCACCCTGTGCTGTCACAGGGCAGATGGCAGGTGCTGCCTTTTTGCTGGTCTTAGCAACTTTGGTCAAAGGCCACATTTAAAACCATCAGGATGCAAACAAAGTATCATCGGCGTACTGAAATCTCATGCATGGGAATTTTTTTTCTTCTCCAGAATAATTGTGAGTGCAATTTAACTTGAATTGCATGTTTTAAATTGGAGAGGAGTTGGAAAGGTTCTGCAGTTTCAACTGTGTCATTCAGTTATTTCATGTGGCAGAATTTCAAGAGAAGGGCCAGGTGTCTTGCATGGACCCCGGCTGTGTTTCTGTAGGTCGTTCAGCTCCAATCCAGGGGTTCGGAGGATGCCTGTGACTTCCTCTTTTATAGCAAAGGAGATGGGTCCCCAGTTGTGTTGAAATTTGGCCCTTTTTGGCACTTGACTGTGAACCTGATCGGCATCTTTGCAATCATAGGATCACCTTTGACCCTGCCCTTACCTTTAGAAATGCATATCACAGGCTACATCATCTATGATAAAGAACCCCAACGTTTTCAGTTGGAAGAAAAAGCATTTATCAGAACTATGATCATTTCATGGCCCCATCAGCCATTTGGGATTTGGCCCAGTTCACGGAAGGCGTGTCTTGGGAAAGGGTGGAGGACCACCTTGACCGTGGTCATACCTGTGACCCTGGGGCTCCGGGCTTGCAACAGCTGGGGCTTCGCACTGTCGTGTGACTTCCTTGCCGCAGTGCTGTGTTCCTTCTCTGGGCGTGCACCTGCTTTGTCCGTGTGAAGGACGAATCACACAGGTGTAAACCCTTCCCACCAAGGAGCTGCTGACAGAACGGCCCTTTGTCTCTGTAGCCTGTAACCCCTGGCGAAGCCTTCTCAGGTGCCATATTTAATGTGCTCTTGGTGTCCGCTTTTTAAAAATATCCCTTTTGTGTCTCTTTGGTTCATTGTGATGAAACCTCTTTTAATTATACCTTCGCCGGTGTTCTGCGTAGCACACGCTGGCTGATAAATGGAGATTACGTGGCTCTTTTGTTTATAGAGAAAAATTAAAACATTTCTTCTGAGCTTTGCATGTTTTTTTCTCATGCCTTGCCAAGGAGACAAGATAAGAGGTTTTGCGTGCTGTCTGCTTTTCTTCCTCGGACTTGTTCTGGAAAGAGGCTGGTAGAATAATTAAGCTGCTTGTCTTTGCTGGGGGAGTTATATATGCACTTTCCAGCTACCTGCTGCTGTGCCCAGCTGCCCCCATAGACACGGGCTCAACAGCAAGGCTGGTGGAAGCCCCTGCCTCTGAGCCCCACCTGGAACGTGGCGTCTCCTCCATGGGCTAGTCCAGACACACCCTCCAGAAAGGTCTTTCCCAGGGTGTTGACTTTCTCTTTCTTTTGAAAATGGAAACACGAGTGGTCATTATTTCCTCTAAATGTGAGCCAAAAGCCTATTTCTCTTTCAGCAAGGAGCTGATGACAAATTCTATCCTCTGCAGCATGGGTGGTCCCCAACCATGGGCCAGAGGGGGAGGCCTTTCTTGCCTTAGATATTAACATGGACTTTAGCAAAACTTAACCAAGGCTCCTGCCGCCCCCAGGCATGTCTGCTCTGGTCCACTGAGTGGGGAAAGCCCCCTGTTCAACACCCCTTGTTTCTGACCCTGTGGGTGTAACCTGCAGAGAATGCTGCATTTAAAGTGACCCTTCTGGGAATGTTCCCTCCCTCTGTTAGACCATGGCACTACTGTGGTCTTTCTTTCCTTCCATCCTTTCTCTCTTAGCTCCCACATAAGAGTGAGCACATGCATTATTTATCCCTCTGTGCTTTGCTTATTTCACTCAACATAAGTTTCTCCAGGGCTACAAAGTGGAATGCGGGGAAGGAGGTTGGGGGATAATTGGGTGGGGACAAGGGGTACAAAAGTAATTTCTGGTAATGGGTATGCCCCCAGTATGAATCTGGCCCTCACATCATGGGCAGGAGGGGGGACAATCAGCTTTATATCTCATGAATATTCTTAATAAATAAAAATAAATAAATAAGTGAGCGTTGTGGCCCATCATGTGCACCTTAGCTGGGCTTAAAGAAGAGAGTCGTCCTAGAATTGGCAGAGAAGCTGCATCTGCTGTAGGCTCACAGGGCCAGCAGCTAAGTGTGGAATCTTAAATGCCTGCATCCTGGCTGCCAGACTGAGGTCATGAGGCCATGAGCCCAGTGAGGGGGTCTGCTCACCCTCCAGTCCTAGCTGTGACCTCAGAGCTAGCCACTGCCCTCTCCAGCGTCTAGGGCTTCCTTTTAAGGCCTCCTGGTGCAGCGAACGCATGTCCCTGCCAGTGTAATGTGGCACCTGCAGATGGCATCTCACAGGCACCTGCTATGCTCTGCAGATGCGCCCAGAAATTAAGCCTGCATTGCCTTAAGGTTATTTCTGTCCTGTGAAGGAGAGCGTAGGAAGCATAGCAGATACCCAAAGGTAAGCCAGGACTGACGTGCATGTGAGCTTATAGAACAGAAATGAGATATTCTCATGGAATTGAACTAAAATTACACATTCGAGCTGCTGAATTGTGAAAGAAGCAAGTTCCTGCTCTCGCCTGTTTTAAATACACACAGAAGAGCAGGCTGACAAACCCACCTGCCCTGCACGAGAGCCGGTAATGACAAAGGCAGGAACGTCCCCCACCGTCACTGATGAGAAACAGCCCAGAGGCAGCGCCCACGTCTAGAAATGGCACCGAGTCTACGCAGAAAGTGACACGCAGTGACTGTGATAAAGATGATGTTTCTCAGCATAAAAACAGTGGTGGGAAAGCGGCTGGTGAAACTAACTTGTCTGTCTTCATTACCTTCATGAAATTAATACAAAAGTGAAACAGGAGAAAGGGGCCTCTCGGAGCAAGTCTGGAGCATCCACCATTGGGGAGAGGGCGGGTGGGGGGTGGGCAGCAGTCTCAGCGTGGCGCCTCTCTCTCGACAGGGCTTCCAAGGCAAGACTGGCCCTCCAGGCCCCCCCGGCGTGGTCGGCCCTCAGGTGAGTCACAGCACACCCGGGGCCTAGGGGTCAGCTGGCATCAGCCACCCACACAGGAGGGAGGCCCGTGGCCCAGGTGTTAGCTCCCCCATGATGCCAGGGGCAGGTGCTGTTGGTAGGGAACCTTACATCCCCACGCATATTAACATGAGCAGATTTGCCCCCAGAGGGGGAGGCCACGTTGAGAGAAGAAAGGGCACGTCTAAGAGCACTTGACGTGGACCCAGCACGCAAAACATCAATGGCTGCTGAGCCTTGCAGGGCTGTAGGCACCAGACCAGAGCCAGGCTTGGGAGTCTGGCTTTTGCACCAGGGCGGGGGCCAGCTCTGTCCACTTGTCCTTGCTGGGGGCACCCAAGGCGGCCGAATTCTCCTGCCACTGGCCCTGTCCGCATGCTGTGGGCCGGCTGTTCTCACGGCCAGCAGATCAGTGAGGGGCGTGGCTCAGAGCAGCCAAGTGGGGCGGCTGTCACCTGTCTTAGGAACCTCACGCCTGGTGCAGTGGTGCATAAGACAGCGACTGCTGCAGCCACAGAGCTGAAGGACCTGTGGGCTTTCGCCCTGCTGTGGCTTTTTTCCTCTCCTGCAGCTGGTTCAGCTGTCCCTGCTACATCCCGGGATGTGCAGGCCTGGCTGGCCTCCTGCAAGGCATCAGGTGGGGGGAAGAAGGGTACTCATGGGGCCAGGCAGTGGGCGGCTTAGCAATACCCACCCTGCTTGCTTTGATCTTTTTCTTTCTGAATTTTTGCCGGAAGGAGGAGACCTGCAAGGGAACGTGGAGGTGTGGTGGGCCTGCAGCGGGCCCTTTGCCTCCAGGGCTAGGACTATCCCTAGACTTAGGGAGAGAAGGTCACTCCTTCATGTGTCACTTCAGACTGTCTTGTGGCTGACTCTGATTCTCCCCGTAGGGTCCCACGGGAGAAACGGGTCCAATGGGTGAGCGTGGCCACCCTGGGCCTCCCGGCCCCCCTGGTGAACAGGGGCTCCCAGGCCTTGCTGGAAAAGAAGGGACGAAGGTGGGTGTCTCAAGCCTTCCATGGCAGTCTGGGTTTCTCCTGAGGAATCGTTTTGGGACTTTGTCTCTGTTTTCTCTTGCTCTTTTCCAATAATGGGTAATTTCTCAGACAAATGCTCTTCATGCCAGTTTGCTCTAAAACCCATAAATGTAGCTCCACTTTTGCTTGAATTAAACCAGGACTTGAGCTGACCCGCCGCAGGGATGGGATTGTAGAGGAAACACAGGGATCAAAACCGTCCTCGGCCCCTCTGCTGACAGCTCCTTCCCCAGTGCCACGCCTGCTCCCAGAAGGGAATGAAAAGCCCTAACCCTTCGTATGTCTAAAACGAATTTAGTAGAAAGTGATCCTTTTAAAAATCCCCTACTGTAAGATACTAAAAATAAGTTGAAAAAGTGGAAAACCAGCATGTTTCTACCCTACCTCTCAGGGCTGTCTCACACTGTCCCCTTTTGTACCCTGTCCAGCAAGGGTGCCCCACGTTGGGTGTCATAATTTCCTGTGTATTAGCATAAAGGTAAATAGCCTTTCCTTTTCAACTTTTCAATAAGGGATGCAGAAAATAAAAGCTCTCCTGCCTTTTATATGGCCACATACAGGAGTAAGCCTTAAAAAATAGCAAAGCAAATTAAGAAATATTGAAAAAAATTATGTGTGTGTGTGCACTTGAATAAATTCGTGTGTGCTTGGAGATACATACACTCACATGCACATATACATGTGTTCACATGCATATTTGTGTGTGTGTAACCCAGACACAGAGAGAGCCCTCTGACTTGGCGAAGGAGGCCAAGGGCATTTGACCTGCTGGGCTGGGAAGACCCCCATGCTCCCATGTTGGACCCCAGAGAAAATTCTGGCAGCTGTCAACACTTTAATGTACCTCAGGGGAGGTCTAGGCTGAGGTGGTGCCTCTTTAGAAAATGTGGTTTTTAGGCTGGAAGCAAACCCCTTAAGTGAGGAGTCTGTTTAGGGCGACACTTCTAACACCGCGTTAGCCACGGTGCCTGTATCTATGCACCATCTTAGATAATGAGACCCAAGTACTTGAAGAAGGTCGATGGCACCCTCGGCTCCTGCTCAGCCTGTCGTCGCCCTGCAGGACTTGGGAGGGGGAGGGGCTCTGGGACTCCGTGGAGCTTGGTGGAGAGTCACAGTCAAATCCGTCCCTGGATCCACACCCAGAGCTGGCCTGGTAGACGTGGCTCCTGGCGTGGGCTGGGTCAGTGCTCAAGTGTGTGGAGCTGCCAGGGAGCCCAGCCGAGACTCAAATTCATTCTAATGCCAAGGGTCCTGGGGAATCCTCAATCCAACCCAAATCCGAGGTGGATCTTGATACGAAGGCCTTGGCCCAGCTCCCAGCAGACCCTGATCTCAGGCATTGCTCAGGGGCTAGTGAGGGGCCTACAGCCGCTGGCTCCAGGAAGAGCTCATTTCTGGCTCTGTTTTCAGGGTGACCCAGGCCCCGCCGGCCTCCCTGGGAAAGATGGCCCTCCAGGATTACGTGGCTTCCCTGGGGACCGAGGGCTTCCTGGCCCAGTGGTGAGTAAGGGACCAGGCAGGGAGTGCAGTCGGGCAGTGCACAGCCCCGGGGGCTTCTCTCCGTGGTGCCCCTGACCCCACTCTCACTGCTTTGCAGGGAGCTCTTGGACTGAAGGGCAGCGAAGGCCCCCCTGGCCCACCAGGCCCTGCGGTGAGTCAAAACCTGTCCCCTCCTCTTCCTCAGAGCCTACTTTGAAGGCAAGACAGGGCAGTCCCTGAGAGCCCGGAGAGCATGCAGCTGCCCGGGTCCCCACCGTGTGTCCTGGGGAGGACAGGGTGAAGATCGACTTTGGGAGGGCTGTGGACAGTGTGTCCCAAGCTGGTAGCCAGGGTGACAAAGAATCTGGGGGCACATTGTGTGAGGGACAGCGGAGGACTGGGCAGCCTGGAGGGTGGGAGGGGGGACCCTGCGTGGCATGCTGAGACCTGTCCCTGTAGGAGCAAGGAGAAAGCCCACGTGCCCTGTGCATGTCTGGCTTTGGCCAGCAGGGGAGGGGACACACAAAGGTGTCCATGGGCTCTGAGGATGCATCCTCTGGCTGGGCTGCCCACGGCAGGGCTGTGCTGCCCAACACAGGCAGGAGGGCTGTCTGCAGACCCGCTGGTGCAGGGGCCTTTGTCTGCTGTCTACACTAGGGGACCCCTCCCACCTTTAAGATTCCAGTGAAGAGACACCTAAAGATTCCGTGTCCACACTGTCAGCTGTGGTCTGGTGGAATCAATGGGGGGCTGTGAGAGGCTGCCCACCGCCCCCCACCAAGCAGCATGACCTCAGGCTCCTAGCTCTTGGCTGATGGCCCCCTCAGAGGCAAAGGTGTGGGGCTGCCTGAGTTGCCCGATGTCCTGGGCTGGGTTTGAAGGTAGATCACTAAATGACATCCCAGTTTCCCCTAACTGAGCTGTGGGTCATTTGAGAGAGACAGTGGTGGGGAAGTCACATGGAAATGAAAACATCACCTTTCCTGCTGATAAAGGCAGGTGGAGGGCCCGCTGGGCAGCAGTGGCCTCTCAATGTGACCCAGAAATTAGGATGGTGCCCCCCATCAGCAGCGCCTGCGTTGGAGCAAGGCATCCCCCTGTAAAAGCTACAGCATGGAGGGGCGTAGTGGAGCGTGGTGTCCTGTGTGCAGGCAGACCCTAAAAGGAAGAGTGGGCGCCAGGCTCCTAGAAGAGGGAGGTCACTGAAGGCAAACATGAAGGAGGCGTGTTCTCAGACACGGGGGTGGGAGCATGTGTGAGCTTGGAATTTCGGGAGGCCTTGGAAGAGCCAAGAAGGGGCCAGATAGCACACAGCCTCAAATGCTAGACCAAATAGTTTGTCTTTGCAAACGGCCATAGGGAGCTATGGTGGGCTCTAGAGTGAGGGGATCAGTGGCATGATCAAGTGGTGCTTTAGGAAATCATATCCACGCAGTTTGAGAGCCTTGAAACAAACCGTTTTCTTGTCCTACCCCAGGGATCTCCGGGAGAGAGAGGTCCAGCTGGTGCTGCTGGGCCAATTGGAATTCCAGGGAGACCTGGGCCCCAGGGACCTCCAGGGCCTGCTGGAGAGAAGGGGGCTCCTGTAAGTACTCCTCAGATTGGGGGAGGCCTTCTTCTTGGAGGTGCTGGGGTCATCACCATGGCCAGCTTTGTCCCTCCCCCTGTGATGTCTCCACAGGCATTTCTCTGGGGGTTGCAGAATAGGGTGGGGTAAAGTTTGTGATCCTTCCCTAGAAAAGTGCATATGTTCCGAGGTATCTGGACTGAGGCCCAAGGCCAGGACTCCCAGCGCGGCCACCTTTCAGCAAGACAGCTGAGCTGGGGGCTCCGTAGGGAGGTGCCGGACGAAGCTCAGCCTGTCCACACCTGCACGTTGGTGTCCCAGCACGGGAAGACAGAGGGAGGGGTGGAAAGAGTCTGTCCCTTGTAGACTTGGTCTCTGTCCAGCCCCGGAGTGCCATGGATGTGGATGGGCCCAGCTGCCCACTCCTCGCCGCTGGCCCCAGTCTTTTTATGAGAAAGACAGGTATTTAGAACAGGATACTCCTCTTTGTTGGTCTGGGGGAAGACGTGGAGGAAAGATGTCTAGCTAAGGAGGGATGGGAGACGGGCCATGGGAAGACTCCTTCCTCTGTGTCCACCATAAGCCGACCTCTTGGTGAACCCCAAATTTTGCAGACTTTGTGAAACCTCAAGGGTAGGAAGGAGTGTGTCTTAAAACTGCCCAAATCTTGGTCTCACTCCTGGGAAGCAGGCTGCCAGCCACCTTCCCCGATCACTCACAAACCACCACACGCTGCCACTCACGGGAGTGGCTCACCTGTTCACACTTGGCCCGCATGATTTGCAACCTCCCACCTGCCCCTGCATTCACACAGCTGTGGAGACCCAGCAGCTCAACCTCTCGTCTCAATTCGGAGTCAGAACGAGCCTCTGCTTTGGGGCACAGGCGGACGCCAACATGGGGGTCTCTGGTGGAGTTAGGCATGGGTGCTGATGGATTTTGCTGGAAAAGTAAAATTTCCTTGTGTGTTTCGCACCTGGTGGCTAATGGTGGAGACAACAGCCCAGTGACATTCCCTGGGCAAAGATGTCCCCCCCCCCTCCCCCCGCTTGAAACCATGTTGGGAACACCTGCACCATTGCACCATCGAGAAGCCTTGTGATTTGTTATTGGCAATTTTGGTGGCATCTAATCATTTCCAACGAGGCATCCAGGATGTGGGTCCAGCCGGATTCTGTGCCAGAAAACTGAAGCCTATTGGGCTTTTAGCACGTATAGAGTGCACAGAATTTGGTGTTGGAAACAGCTTGGTTCATTGTCTCAAGAGAGTAAATACAGTATTTAAGCAGAAACCTTGCAAGAGCTGTACTCTCTGGGGAGAAGCTTGTCATTCCCAGAATAGCTCCAGCGAGAAGGAAAGGTCGAGAAAAGGTCAGGGCATCTCCAAGAACTGCTGGCCTGACCAGTGACGCAGGACAGGACAGTTCCATGAAAGCCATCCTGTTAGCCTTGGCATTTTCTGGCTTGCCTGGGGTGGCTGTTTATACCACAAGAGCTACACCTGAGGCATGGGAAGCGGGTGGTGGCAGGCAGGCAGGGATGAGATGGGAGAGTGACGTGTGCGTGAATGCCAGCCACGTGTAGGTTCCAACACCGAATGTACTTTTCTCTTCATGTCCTCCTCCCCCATGTGCACACCCTCTTTCTGTGTATCTGTTGGAAGAAAGGGACTCCTGGCTGGGTGAGAACGTTCATGCCACTCAGAGTGATGCAGAGGCTGATAAATCTGAGCAAAGCAGAAGCTTAGAAAGGGTCACTGGAGATCACTGAGAGGCAGTGAGCAGGGATATGAATCAAAGTTATGAGGACAGGAAGGATAGCGTGTGCACGTGTGTGTGCGTATGTGCATCCGTGTGTGTGCGTGTCCGTGTGTGCACGTTCATGTGCTTGTCTGTGCTGTGTGTGTGCATGCACACTGATGTGTGTGTGTGTGCAGGAAGGGTGTTTGTGGAAAATCGAAAGAGTGAGAAAGTTGGTGCTGGAGGCCCTCCTGGTCCCTTGGCTTGTCTCCTGGTTACTAGCTTAGATGATTCCACGCACAGGCTCAGGAATTTGGTTGGCTGGGTTTGAATCCTGGGTCTACTGCTTGCTAACTGTGCCTCAGTCTCCCCCTCTATGAAAGAGCAGCCCTTCACAGGATTAAATGTGTATTAAATGAAGCAATGTACTGGAAGTTCATGGTCCAGGGCGGGGCTCAGAGTCGGCCCTCCATGTGCCTGGCTGCAATCCATTAGGACTGTGGTGAAAGTCACTCCCCAAGAGCTCCCAGCTTCCTGCCCAAGGGTTCCTCCCTCGAGTGACAAGCTGGTGATGGGATATTCCCACCATGGAGCTACGTTTGACCAGAGATCTTCTGTCCTCTCTAGGGCGAGAAAGGCCCTCAAGGCCCTGCTGGCCGAGATGGTCTCCAGGGTCCTGTGGGGCTGCCTGGTCCAGCTGGCCCTGTGGGTCCCCCAGGAGAAGATGGAGATAAGGTAAGGAAACACGGGCAGGTGCATGGCCACACCGGGCCAGGCTGGCAGGTGCAAGTGACAGTAGTCTGCATGCGGGCGTGGAAGCTCCGTCATCAGAGCCACTGCACCCATCCTGCCGTCCTGGTGCTAGTGGGTGCTTTTGAAGCAGTGAAGAAATAATGGTAATAAATGAAATCTCCAGCATGCTGGAGGGGCTTTAGAAACCGTTTTCCTCTGTAAAGTTTTAATGTTGCCCCCGACATTGGCCGTTAGTAGCTGGAGCAAAGAAAAATGCTCCCTGCTCCCCCTGAATCATTTCAAATTCTGAATCTGCAGAGCCCGATATAATGAGGTTTTACCCAATATCTATTTTTAAATGTCTTCACTGGAATTATCAAGGCTCCCTTTCATTTAACGTGTGCTTTATAATTCTAATGCTGTTGCTGCAGGAGCTCATATTTTATATTTCATTTAATGAAGACAGTGAAACTGAGCTCTTTGGTTTAACTTTGCATTTATGGTAACTCTCTGGTGACATTCCCAACTTTGTCACCTCCACACAGATGATGCTTTACATCTCAGGGTGGAAGACAGCCCTGCACCAACAGAAACACTGAGGAGCTTTTAATAACTTCTTTGGAAACATAGTAACTGCCTATTATTACGTTGTCATGTTAGCAGTCCAATTTGGAAAAGAAAGTAAATATTTTCAATATGACTTTTCCCACATTTTCAAGTCTATTAAAATCCTATATACCATAAGACGAAGACCTCATCCTTTTTGGTCCTTGTATTAAAAAGGAAATCAAATTAATATATGGAAACATTTCTCCTTAGGAAATTTATAGGGCCACGTGGAGTGGAGATGATTTTTAATCTCCAGGAAAAATTAATTCTGGGGAACAGAAAAGGTCCACATGGTCACTGCGCTGTGTAATGGAGTCTTCCCCATCTTTCCCTAGGGAGAGATCGGAGAGCCAGGGCAGAAGGGCAGCAAGGGGGACAAAGGCGAGCAGGTAAGAGGTGGCGGGTGAGTGCAGGTGCGTGCCACGTTTAGAGGTGCCACGCATGGGGCCACGTGCTCGGCGTGACGTGTGTCATTACCAACATTGCTGATTGGTTTTCTTTCCTGTTGAAGTCTGGTGTGTGTGTGTGTGTGTGTGTGTGTGTGCGTGCGTGCGTGCGTGCGTGCGCACAGATGCTCCTCTACCTATGGTGGGCTACGTCCTGATAAATGCACCGTAGTTGAAACTATCCTAAATTGAAAATGCATTGAATACACCTCCCTGCCGAGCATCCGAGCTTAGCCCAGCCTACATGAGACGTGCTCAGACGCTTACGTTAGCCCACGGCAGGGCAAAGTCATCTGACACAAAGCCAGTTCTGTCACCGTGTGATGTGCTGAATCCGGACTGGAAGTGGAAGCAGGATGGGTGTGCGGGACTCGGGGTGCGGCTTCCTCTGAGCGCACCCCGCTTTTGCCTCTTTTGGGCTGTCGTAGGTCGGGGACCGTCTGTGTGCACATGTGTGTGTGGATGTCCAGCTGTGAGTCCGTCTCTCAGTGTTAAATGATGAGCAGGAAGCATCCACGGGCTTTGTGAAATAAATTAATTGAGCAATTTTGTCCTTGAGGTTCTCGGTTCTGCGGACGCACTCGCTGCCCTCCGGTGCTGAGGAGGCAGAACATTCTGGCAGCAGCAGCGGCAGCACCATTGGCCAAATGCCCGTTAATTTTTCCCTCCTTTATTTCTCTTCATCTGTTCAGAAATACTAGTGTGTTCTTGCCCAAGCCCATCACTCGACGACCAGCTTCTTCCTGGCGGCTGTGATTTGTCTCCTGGCCTCCTGCACAGTTGGCCTATCACCTGACATTTTTATCCCCAGGCAGGAGGGACCCATGGCCCTCTGGGCTGCACCTGGGGCTGTGCACTTTCACCTCGGGTCAGGCTCCCTCCCTCCACGCTCCCTGTGCCTACAGTGGTGAAATGAGTTTGTAGAAGGCACGTGGCCGCAGGAGTCACTGTGCCGGGTGCGAGGGCTTTGGAGGCACACCCCACCTTGGCCACGGATGAGCTGCATGATCTCAGGTCCTCATTATTAAGTGGGGCCTCCTGTACCATATCGTGGTGTATGGTGGGAGCTAAGAGGACATGGGGTTCTGTCCTCTAGCGCAGCGTAGGTGGAAGCTGCCTCTGCTGCCTGTAATGGGGTGCTGGGGGCTGAACCCAGAACCTCAACAATGTTCCAGAGCCTGCAATGGGCTTGTGCTGGGGTGTCGATTTGGGGGTTGAACCGCTGACCTGGGCTGCATTGGCCCCCTGAGCTGACCAGCCCCTGCTGGGACGTGATTGACCCCCTCCCTAGCCCTCATCTATGATTCGAGAAGCAACTGTCTCTGTCTTGTTCCCCACAGGGTCCCCCTGGACCTACAGGTCCTCAAGGCCCCATCGGACAGCCAGGCCCCTCGGTGAGTACCTGGTTAATGTCCCGCAGAAAGTCCCGAGCCCCTAGAGCTGCTGTATGACCAGGAGCTTGTCCTCACCCTTGACTTATTTCCCTGCAGGGAGCCGATGGTGAGCCAGGTCCTCGTGGCCAGCAGGGCCTTTTTGGGCAGAAAGGCGATGAAGGTCCACGAGGTTTTCCTGGGCCCCCCGGGCCAGTGGGGCTGCAGGTAACTGTGGATTCTCACTTCAGTTGCCTCCTGGGTCTTTGCTGTGTACCTCCTCCTGTCTTTGCAAAAACGGGGAGACTAAGACAAGGTTGCGGGGGGCCTCCTGGGGCTCCCCCATCCATGGGACATTCTGCAAATTTCCAGAATTCCAGATCTGTCCCTATCGGCTGCTCTGAAGCAGTCAGATGTATTTGCATGTTCATTGTAGAAACTTGGTAAATACTGATAAATTGTAAAAAAAGAAAACAAAAATGACTTCTAAACATACTTCCTAGAAATGAGAACTGTGAACACTCGCACATTTCATTCCCATACCTTTTAAATGCATGTGCTCCTATTCACATAGGCACATATGTCATTGTATTTGGTTTTTGCAAAATCTGATCCTGCCATATGTTGTACAGAAAGTTTGTACCCAGCATTTTCCCTCTCATTTTGCATTACGAGGCATGTTGAATGTCATTAAGTACTCTTTGAACACATGACTTTTTATTTATTTTGGAAAACAAGATTTTTAGTCACTGCGTAGTAATCCAGCACATGGTGGTGACATAATTTATCCAAACATTTCCTGCTGTTGGCTCATTAGGTTTTATTGTTTTATGGGACACTGCCATAAGTACCTTTGCCATAAATCTTTGCATTCTTCTCTAATTAATTCCCCGGGCTGGTTTGGAGGCCTGGAATCACAGGATTTCCTCATGCTCAGCTGTTCGTGTAGAAGCACATTCCAGGGGCTTCTGGAGGCTCCGTGGCGTCGTGTTGCTGAGACAGTGAGGGAAGTGTATGCGTGTTTGGCAGAACAGCACTTAACTGCAAAGTTTCCTATTCTCAGGGTCTGCCGGGACCTCCGGGTGAAAAGGGCGAGACAGGAGATGTGGGCCAGATGGTAAGTGTGACCGGACACCAAGACCTTGCCACTACAGCTGGTTCTGATTTTGAGGGGGACGTTTGTGTTTTCTCTGGGCTCAATGACCTCTCCTTTTCCTAGGGCCCTCCTGGTCCCCCTGGCCCCCGAGGACCCTCTGGAGCTCCAGGTGCTGATGGGCCACAAGGTCCTCCAGGTGGAATAGGAAATCCTGGTGCTGTGGGAGAGAAGGTGATGCCTCTTACCTGGTACAGGGGCAGATTGACTGCTTGGGAGAATCAGTGTGTGTGTGTGTGTGTGTGTGTGTGTATGTGTGTGTGCGCGCACAGAGATGTGCAAGGGTGTGGCTGGGTTATCCTATGAAGTTCAGACTGCACCTTAGAAGACTTGTAGAATGGAACTGGAGAACTCTGGCATGTTTATTTGTGACACCCTTTTGTAGAATTTCCAAAAGAGGCACCCACCAGCAAAGCCCCTGCCACCTTCCCCAAGATTTAGCCCTGAGGGAAATTACCATCTATTCCTGGAAGTGCTGCAGTTGCCATGCTAGCAGATTCCATTTCAGTTGAATCCTTCCTTTCTTTTTCATACAGACTGGGGTCCTCTGCTTTGACCTGAGTGATTTTAGGGCCCCAACCCTGCAGATGACTCCATGAACACGATGGGCCCATGTGTGCACGCGTGCGCATGTGTGCATTGTGCATGTGTGTGCACGCGTGCGCATGTGTGCATTGTGCATATATGTGCATGTGTGCGGTGTGCATGTATGCGTGTATGTGCACGCAGTGTGTGACCATGCAAGATCTGCCCCCACATCAGTGCTCACAAGTGTGCTCTGCCTTAAAGGCACTTGTCTCCGTTTCTTTGGGTAAGAGGGAAGACGAGGATGTACGTCCATGCACTTGAGCTCCCCATATACCATTTCCAAGACTTTCTTTCTGACATTAGTCCATTAAATTGAAAAAAGTCTGCCATCACTGCCCGTTTCTTATGACAGGAGAATTACAGAGCAGTCCTCCCTGCTAAGACCACAGGGTAATGGCATGCAGCTTCTGCCCAGGGAGCAGCGTCTTCCTCCCAGCGCCCCCACCGCGGGCACACGTCCATGTTCATCTGCTGCCACGACACACGCCCCTTCCCAACCTCCTTCCCAGGAGCCTGCGCTCCCTGAGGATATCATGTGCTCTCCTCCCTGCCTCTGCCCCAGCCGTCCCCCCGCCTGCAGTGCCCCAGCCGTCCCCCCGCCTGCAGTGCCGTCCTGCCCCTGTAACTTAGATCCTCCTAATCATCCTCCAGAGCCCCCAGCACATTGTTCTCTGGAGAGCCTCCTTTGCCAGCGTGCCTCTTAATCTGGGCGCCCCTCTCTGTGCTCTCCTCTCTGCGTCCATCACGTGCAGGTGTCTAACTGGCACCACTTCACACCCTGCGTAGGGTGACTGTTTCCTCACGAGCCTCCCCATCCGATCCTGGGAGCCATCTCGGGACAGTGACACTGTCCCACCCACCCCTGGGTCCCTGGTGCCCGATGGCAGGCAGGCAGGATCTGGCAAGTGCTTGAAGCTAGAGTCCCCGTTCCCATCCCTGCAGTAACGCTGCCACCTTGTCTCCTCAGGGGGAGCCTGGCGAGGCTGGTGAGCCTGGCCTTCCGGGAGAAGGAGGTCCCCTGGTGAGTGAGCAGGTTTTGGGGGGTGTGGGGGGCATGTGACAAGAGGGAGAAAAGACAGGGGCTGACTCTGCCTCAGTTTTCCCATCCATGAAATGGGGGTCACACGCCTCTGGTGCCTGCGTCCCTGAGTGGCTGGCAGTCCCTCCACTGTCTGTGGTGCTCCAGGCCCCTTCCCGGGGTTCAGTAAATGTAGGAACAACTGTTGCTACCTGTCACCCCAGACGTTGAAGTTCCATCCTGGAATATCTCGGCCTTTGAAAGTCGGAGGAGCGCTTATGGCGAGGCAGCTGGGCAGACAGGGGTGTCCAGGGCTCCCGTCTGCTCCCTCCACCCGAGAACCGTGGCGTTGGTGGGCGCTGCTCGAGGGCCTCGTAGCCTGCTGTCGAATCAAGGATTTGGCTCCTCCTGTATGGAGCTGAGTCTTGGCCTAAAGGACCCTGTAAAGCCGGGGGTTCCTCTGGCCTCCTTGTGGTACACACTGGGGCGACACTCACAGGGGGTTGCTGAGGGTGGGGGAGTGGGCCCAGTGCCTGGCCCCCTGGCAGGGCTCAGCAGATACTTGGAAAGGGCCATCTGCCCGCTCTGAGAGGCAGGACAGGCACGCCAGGGAGGCAGACCATAGACCCATGCCCACCTTGCTCTGGGCAGCCGCATGGTTGGCCCTGAGACCTGGACACCGGCCTCTCCCCTGCAGGGACCCAAAGGAGAAAGGGGAGAGAAGGGCGAGTCAGGCCCTTCTGGTGCTGCAGGACCCCCTGGACCCAAAGGCCCTCCCGGAGACGACGGTCCCAAAGGCAGCCCGGTGAGTAGTCCTGTGACACCTTGGGTGCCCCAGAGCGGGGTGGGCCTCTGCACCCCATGCCACCTGACACACCGGCAGTGAGCTCTGCCCAGGGAGTGCCTCATGACCATTTCGTGTCTTGGGGTGATTCTTCCCAAGTCTAGACATTTGCACACCAGCTGCTGGACCACAGCAGTGGAGATGAGAAAGAGCGGACCTGGATTAGCGGGGAGGCCTTCAGGAGGTGGTCTTTGTGGTCTAGGCAGCGCCAAGACACACCACACAGGAGGGCTCCAGGCTATGCCCCTTCTTTGGCCCACCCTGGTCTTGCAGCAGGAGGGGCTTCCGAGGCAGGTCTGGAAGCCTGAAGGTCCAGTTCTAGGCTCAGCCTGGAGTGCTCAGGAGTGGACAGTGGCAGGATGCCCGCCCTTTGCACATCTCTGGGAAACAGGACCGACCCCTGCCCTGCCCACTGGTCAGGCTTGCTGGCTCAGTGAGCTGCTGTACAAGAAAGGCCTTTCGGCGTCAGGAAGGACACAGAGGTGCTGGTGTTGGTGGAATGTTCTAGGAGCTGAGTGGCGACTGGGTGGTCCCGAGGCAGCCACAGGCTCGGCAGGGCATGGTCTGGCTTGGGTTGCTCACAACCTGGGCCTCCCTCTCTCCCTGTCCCTTGCAGGGCCCAGTGGGTTTTCCTGGAGATCCTGGACCCCCCGGAGAGCCTGGCCCTGCGGTAGGTGTCCTGGATGGCAGAGCCACTCCGTCCCACAGCCGGGGACCTGCCTTTCCAGCCCTATTTTCTATTCTTTCTGCTTGTTTCTTTCGGGTGAATTTTCTCTGGGGTGCAGTGCTCTCCCCCAGGCATCTGCCTCTGGTGAGACGAAGAGAGCGTCTCCCCACTTCCGAGCACTTGTGTGCCACGCCGGGTGGGCTGTGGTTTTCGGGAAGGTGCCTGGGGTGCTGGGGGTGGACTCGGGGTGCCATCCAGGGAATAGTGAGGAACTTGCTTTTGTCCCCACAGGGTCAAGATGGTCCCCCCGGCGACAAAGGAGACGACGGTGAGCCCGGGCAGACGGTGAGTTCACTCGTGACCAGTGTCCTCTACAGGTTCTGATGCGGCTTCTCGGTGGAGGGTGTCAGTGTGTTCTTGGGACTTTGCAACATGTTTCGTGCATTTCTGAGAAAAACCCAAGCCGAGTTCCCTTATGATATCGACTCTTGACTGTAGCAGGGGCTCACAAACCCCTTCGAGGATCTGTTGAAAGCTGGGCCCTCTTCCAAGAAGAAAAAAACGCACGTACAGTCCTCCTGGAGATTTTGTGTGCAGCTCCTGGGATTCCACAACTCGCCCCCAAAAGCTTGGCCATGAACGTCCTGCCTGCCAGTGCCTCCCCTTAGGGCCCCTTCTCTTTTAGCCTTGACTGAGCTCACACTGGACGTTGAGGGTTTTAGACACGACTGCAAGCCAACATAGTCTCTCTGGGATGGGACTGACCCCAACAGTCCCCTGGGCAGGACTCTGCTTGGAGCTAACTCCCTGCAGGTCTCCCTCACCTCTGTCCTGCCCCCAGCGTGGAAAATCACTGTTGAGAAATTACTGACCATGAACAAAAGGCTTATGTCACCGATTTGAGCTGAGCAGCCACACACAGAAGGGGTTGGGGACACGAGCTCTGGGGCCAGAATCCCCGGGTAGACGTCCCTGCCTCCACCGCTTCCTGGCCTGTGCCATGTCCATAAAGGGGGTGCTGATGCCGCCTGTGGGTCGTGGTGGGGATTAAGCCGGCTGTTGAGTGTCAAGAGGAAATGCTACGTGGTGGGAAAGTTCCCTTCCAAAGGGCAGCAAAGCCGTGCGATGCCCGTCGGGGTTCCCCACGCTGCCACGGCCGAGTGCTGAGTGCGGAGGTTGTGGCAGTTCTTCCAGGGCTGCCCTCGTCTCTCGTGCCAGCTCCAAAGGGAGAGGAGGCAGAGTCAGGGCCGGCTGAGGAGAGACTGGATGGAGAATCTCAGAATTCTTACGTTGGCCTCGGACCCTGCCGGATGTGCGCGCCCCAGTCTGCCCGCCCCGATTCCTAACGCTCTGTGTGTTCTTCCTCCACTGCCAGGGATCCCCGGGCCCTACTGGTGAACCAGGGCCATCCGGGCCTCCGGGAAAAAGGGTAAGTCATTCTGCAGATTGTCGCCGCCTGACCTCGCCTCCCGCCCCCACCGCGCTTTGCTTGGGCCCTGGCGCTCTGAGCAGCACCCAGCATGAAGGAAGAGCTGTGTTCTCCACTCAGCTGCCTACCATGTCATGGTCACTCAGTGGACGTGGTGGCCCTTTAGGCTGGGCCAGCTGCTGACACCATCAGTAATGTCCACTGTGGGAGAAAAACACCCACGATGCCGAAAAACTCCCTTTCCCCTGGGCCAGGCCCTACGGAAAAGTCAGAAGAAACAAAAATGTGTTCTTGGCGTGTTGACTGAGCCGGTTGCTCGCTGGTGCTGCCCTATGGGCTGCCGGATGCACAGCCAGGACAGGGAGGTCCCCACGCGCACGGAGGCCGGGCCGCCGCGAGCCAACCGGAGGCCTTCAGCTGGGACCTAGTCGTTAGCGCTGGTCCTAAGGGCTTGCGTCTGAGGCCAAGCTCGCCACCTGTTCTTTTGCTTTTTCCAGGGTCCCCCGGGCCCCGCAGGCCCAGAAGGCAGACAGGGAGAGAAAGGAGCCAAGGTAACGCGCTTTTCAGCCAGGCTGTGTCTGTGCCTAGACCTTCCAGAAGGGAGGTGGGTCGGGTGGGACATGGAGACGTATGTGGACAGAGAGTGGCGGGCAGCCAGCCCAGAAGGGGCCTGACTGTCATAAACCTGGGATGAGAACTGGTCCTCTCTAGAGGAGGCGGCCAGTGGTGTCCTGGGGCACTGGGGTCTGTGATTCTGGCACCAGGGTCTGTCTGTCCTGCTGGGAGTTGGGGGCACAAGAGTCAGGGAGACCGGGACTGATCTCGCTGTTCCTGCGAGCTGTGTCCTCACGCCTGGTCTTTGACCTGGCCGCGCCCCAGCCACCTCTCTGCCTGAGCGGAGCTGATGACGCGGCCCTAGTGGGGGCTGGGAACATGGGCTGTTGCTGCCGTGCAGTTAACGTGGGGCCCGGAACTGAGCACATGTGGCTGTTCTCGTGGTGAGGTGACTGGTGAGGACCAGGATGGCACCCTCTGCCTCCCTCCTGAGATGCCCTGTCATTGAGTGGGGCAGCAGTGGAAGTCATGCGGCTCCCTTCCTGCTTGGGAAGTGGTGGCTGTGACCGCCGTGGCAGTGGTTGACACGATGGACCAGAGACAGGGGAGCCCTGCTGGCCGAGGACATTAGCAGGGTGGGGAATTGGAGCAGCCCCTGGACAGCTGGGGCATCTGGGGCTCTCTGAGGCACTGGGGTCCCGGGCAGTGGGGCTGGACCAGGCTGCCTGGAGCCTCCCAGCACCTGGGTCCCACTCTCTGCTCCTTGCCACCCTGCAGGGAGAAGCTGGCTTGGAAGGCCCTCCTGGGAAGACTGGCCCCATCGGCCCCCAGGGGGCCCCTGGGAAGCCCGGGCCTGATGGTCTGCGAGGGATCCCCGGTCCTGTGGTGAGTGGGCCGAGCTGGCCTGGGAAGGGGGTGGAGGGGCTGCCAAGCAGAGGGACGTGGGGTCAGGACTCACGCGGCGGTGTCTGTGTTTCAGGGTGAACAAGGTCTCCCAGGATCCCCAGGCCCAGATGGTCCCCCCGGCCCCATGGTGAGTGACCTTCCCTGTGGCAGTGGTTGTGGGGGGGAGGTGGCCACACGAAATCCCTGGGATGAAGGTCTGATCCCTCTGCCTTCTCCCACAGGGTCCCCCAGGACTCCCCGGCCTCAAAGGAGATTCTGGCCCCAAAGGCGAAAAGGTAAGACGGACCTCAGAGGCCTCTGCGGCTGTGACTCGGGGCCCTTCACATATGCTAGGTTTCAAATGTGACAAACTGTCAGTCCCACCCAAATCTGTCAAGTGCCAGCTGTAGGCTCGTGATGGGTTCCCCAAGAGGCAGTTAAACAAAGAGAACCGTATATGCTGCTGTTGAGACGGTCCCTGACCTTAGGGAGCCCCTGAGAACCTCCAGGTGGGCACAGAGGTCCTGCCCAAAGGGTGTTCAGGATCCGAGGAGCAGAGGCTCACTCTGGACAGGGGTCTCGGGTCCTTCCTGCGGGAGGCACAAGGCCTCTGCAGCAGGACACAGCCCTTTTGTTTTTCCTGAGTGGTGGTGGGTTTTTTTCCTACTTACACTGATTTATTTACAAACATGAACGTACTCACAAGCCACACAGTTGGGAATCCTGAAGGCAGCAGTGAGGACGCTCTTTCCACTCCAGTGTCTGTCACCAGCCCCCCACCCCCCAACCCCAAAGTCACAGAAGCTGGAAGAATCCTTCCTTCCAGAACCTTCTATGGGCTCATATGAAACAAACATATGAAGACTTGTCGTGGGTCCTTTTTAGAGAGTGTAACAAATGACAGTAGCATCTGTAACACTTTGCAGCTTGCTTTCTGTGTCAGTCTGCAAATTTCGTTTTAGTTCCTGATAGCAAAATGTGTACATATTTACTATAGGAAAATTAGAAAATGCATATAAGTAAAAAAACAAATAAAAACGATTACTTGGGAAAACCACTTATATCCTTTCAGTCTGTGTCTGTGTCTCCACATCTGTCTTTTTAGGGTGATTTTGGCCAACAGAGACCACACCAGACTCACTGCTCTGTCACCTTGTTTCCATTCCGTGAAGTGGACGCATGACTCACGGCTTGTGTGGCATGGACGTGTGCCGTGTTGCACCTGCTGTGGTTGGACACGGGAGCCACCACCACCAATGACCCTTCATGCCTTCATTTTCCCACAGGGTCATCCTGGCCTGATTGGCCTCATTGGACCTCCGGGTGAACAGGGTGAAAAGGGCGATCGTGGTCTCCCCGGCCCCCAGGGCTCGTCCGGTCCTAAGGGAGAGCAGGTGTGTGAGACAGAGCCCTTGGACGTCTGCATGCCCGCGGGCTGGCGAGGAGCATCTTAGAACCCTGGGCTCTTGGGTGGCGCCAAGGGCCTGAAGCACGTTGGAGCTGGAAGGGCGTCCTCACGTCTGTGCATCCAGCTTTCCTGCTTTGCAGATGGAGCTGTTGAGGGGGTCAGGTGCGCCAGGCACACAGGAGCTGGACCCCAGCCCCATGCCCTGACCTGCCCACAGGTGTGCCCTGACCTACCTGCAGGTGGGGCCTGACCTGCCCTCAGGTGCTCCCTCCTCAGTTCCAGGGGGCCCTCAGGGCTGCGCGACTCAGAACTCAGACCGTCTACCATGTCCCACCACAAGAGCCCCTGACCCAGCTAGTTGCCCAGGAGGTCCTTGGTGATGGTCAGCCTGTCTGCTGTGTCATGGGACAGAGTGGCTGGCCGTGCATGCCCTTCCTTCTGCCGTGCCCCCAGATTCCCACACCCAACCCTTGACATCCCTGGACGCCACTGTGGCTAATTGGAATTTGCAGCCCCCGGCCAACCACTGCTAAGGAAACCCTAGCGGGAGAGTCTCTCCCAGCCCTACAGCTGGTGGCCCCATTGGACTGGCTGCCGGGAGGGTGGGGTGGAGAGGATCTGTGCCCCAAGAGGGGTGACATGTGCTGTGGAGGCAGGAGGGGGGACAGGCCACATGCCGAGTCTTCGCCCTCCCCCGTGAGGGTCACATGTCCTCATTCTAGCATGGGAGTCTCCGCCTCCCGAGCCAGGCATGGGGAGCACACGTGTGCTCAGGACATGGGGCACAGGGTCCCCTGAGGCTGGGGATAAAGTGGACCCCCCATGGGTCCACGAAGGCTGTGGGACGGCTTCAGAGCTGAAGCTCGGCGGAAACCCCTTCCTCATCTGCTGTCTTTTCCTCCGGCCTCGGGCCATTTCCCCACTGCCTGGTGTCCCCAGGCCACCACAATGCTCTCAGCCAACTGCCACCCATGTCATGGCAGCCCAGTGACCACGAGACTTAGAGAGACATCCAGGGTCCCCATGCCCAAAGGAAAGCCATATGTCCCCATGCCTGTGTCCGCCGTGTCCACTCACTGGCCCTCACAACCAGCCGAGGTGTTGGCCACCCTGCTGATGGCAGGTGTAGGTTCTAAGGTGCAGGCTTGAGGGACTGTGGGATTTGGCAAATGATCAGAAGCCCAAGTGACTGCAGGATAAGGGCAGAGGGAAGTCAGCACTCTCTGTCAGAGAGACATGTGCTGTCACCTCCCGCTACTGTCACTTGCAAAGACCAGTGAAGTTTCCTGCAGCACTAGCGCCACCTGGGCTACGTGGAAAGGGGCGGGCGCACAAGGAGGGTCTGGTCAGAGGTTACCAACTCCGAGGATGTGAGAAGCTCATTGAGAGGCTGGGCAGGACAGACAGAATAGACGGGACCCGAGGACGCTTGCAGCCACTTCCCCCTTGGGCTTGTTCCAGTGGGGAGACTGACGCCACAAACAGAAAACAGTGGAGGGCCCAAGCCAGGGATGGGAGGTTGGGGTGACCACTTCTGTGTGTCAAATTGAACATGAGAAAGGATGTCCAGCCTGGCCGTGTCCCCTCACAGCACAGCTGCCCCAGTGGTGGCAAGCAGGTGGACGTGGGCTGCTGGAGGGGCTACAGTGGGTGGCTTGGGGAGGAGACTGTCAGCGACCTGGCAGCATGGCTGGGTGGGTGGGGTGGGGTGCACAGTTTTCAGCTTTCTCTGTCTGAAGGACGGTAACCTGCGCTTTCTGCTCCTTTTCAGGGCATCACTGGTCCTTCTGGCCCGATAGGGCCGCCTGGGCCCCCTGGCTTGCCGGTGTGTATCTGGGAGGGTTCGGTGGTCCCCTGGGTGGGGGTGGCCTGGGCTCAGTGTGTGGCTGGAGAATTACAGGACAGTCACATGACAGCTGGAAGTGTGCCCCAAGGCTGATTTGCTCATTCACATGACACTGGAGTTCCAAGCCAAGGAAGCGAGGGTGGGGTTGCTGCTCCCTGATGTCAGGTGGGGGGGACAGCGGCTTGGAGCCTCCACCTGCAGGCATTCCAGGCAGTGGGGGAAGGGAGGAAAGTGGTGGCTGGCACCCCGGCCTTCCCAGTCTTCTGCCTGGCCACTAAGTCCCCCAGCCCAGGGTTTCCTCACATACTGGGCGATCTGGTACTCCCAGGACACTTCCATGGCCTTGAGTCTCTGCCTATCCCAACCCCATCTGCACCGGCTGGGCCTCAGGTTCACGTGGCTGGACCATGGCTGACCCCTGTGGGGTGCTGCCAGGAGGACTGGAGGGAGCATTTTGTCAGGGCCTTCTGGAGCCAGGACGCACCATAGTGGCTGCCCAAGTCAGCTTGGGGGGTGGGTGGGCAAGACAGGACGCCCTCTGACCCCCTGTGGTGTAGGCACCAGCCATGCCCAGCCCTCCTCCCGCCTCCTTCAGACAAGAGCAAGCGTAGGCTCCTGGGAGGGGACACGGGCACAAGGAGTGGGGGAGCAAAGGCGGGGCCTGGGGCGAGGGGCCTTGCGTGTTAACACTCTGCCCTTGGCTCTCTGCAGGGACCACCGGGTCCAAAAGGTGCTAAGGGCTCCTCGGTAAGTAATGTGCTGCCCCGAACTGGCCCCACACCACCCGGGAGGGGGCTGCCTGGGCGGGAGCTGGGGCAGGGACATGTGTCCCCTTGGGTGAGGACCACACGCAGCCCCCTCCCCACTCATGGTGGTCTTGCTTCTCATACTCCTCATACTCCTTCCATCTTTCTGAACTGCCCATCACCCCAGCCGGGCATTGGGGCTGCTCCACACAGGTTCACGGGGCCATTCTAGAGCAATAGGTGGATTTCAAGTTGCATCATGCCTCGGTGACCAAAGGTTGGTTCTCTTTTCTTTTTCCCCAGGGTCCAACTGGCCCAAAGGGTGAGGCAGGCCACCCAGGACCCCCTGGCCCGCCGGTAAGCAACCTCAGAAGACTGGGAAAGGGGTGGGAATCCTGGCTAGCTCTGGGGGAGTCCGGGGAGGCATCTATGCATGGCTCTCTTTCCGAAATTTCATGAAACCTATGTGCCATGCCCAGGAGGCTAGTCCCTGAAGACACAGCGGGGGAAAATGAGTCACACAGGGCCGTCCACGGGGTGCTCACAGGCTAGCTTGCCCTGGGAAAAACAGTTGGTAGTGGTGGTGGGGTGGGGGGGAGAGAGTGCGTGTGCATGTGTGTGTGCGTGCCGATGTGTGCATGCGTGTGTGCGTGTGTATATGTGTGTGCATGTGTGTGTGCATGTGTATATGTGTGTACATCTCTGTGTGCGTGTGTATATGTGTGTGCATCTGTGTGTGCGTGTGTATATGTGTGCATCTGTGTGTGCGTGTGTATATGTGTGTGCATCTGTGTGTGCGTGTGTATGTTTGCGTGCTTGTGTGTGTATGTGTGCATGTGCGTGCTGATGTGTGCGTGCATGTATGTGTGTGTGTGTATGTGTGTACATCTGTGTGTGCGTGTGTATGTGTGTGCATCTGTGTGTGCGTGTGTATATGTGTGTGCATCTGTGTGTGCGTGTGTATGTTTGCATGCTTGTGTGTGTATGTGTGTACATCTGTGTGTGCGTGTGTATGTGTGTGCATCTGTGTGTGCATCTGTGTGTGCGTGTGTAATGAGTGGATCATCTGTGTGTGCGTGTGTATGTTTGCATGCTTGTGTGTGTATGTGTGTACATCTGTGTGTGCGTGTGTATGTGTGTGCATCTGTGTGTGCATCTGTGTGTGCGTGTGTATATGTGTGTGCATCTGTGTGTGCGTGTGTATGTGTGCATGCTTGTGTGTGTATGTGTGCATGTGCATGTGCGTGCCAATGTGTGCATGCGTGTATGTGCGTGTATATGTGTGTACATCTGTGTGTGCGTGTGCATCTGTGTGCGTGTGTATGTTTGCATGCTTGTGTGTGTATGTGTGCATGTGTATGTGTGTGCAGGTGTGTGCAAGTATATAGTGTGCGTGTGTGTGCATGTGTATATGTGTATGTGTGTGTGTGTGTGTGTGTCGGGGCTAGGAGAGCACTAGATAAGGCCCCCGAGGTGCAGGATGAAGCTCGTTGTGACCTGGGTGCAGCGAGCATACTCCAGGCCACTCCGCTTGGCCAGGCAGCCTCTCCACTCCCATCCCGTCCAGCTGGGGTGTCCTGGAAGTGAGCAGTCCCTTGTACCAGCAGGTGTTCACAGGGCCCCACTGTGTCCACCCCAGCCAGTGCCACAGAGACAAGAGGGGAGGTCTGGTCACCTTCCTCAAGGCTTGGCCTTTGTCCAGCTGAGGACAGCGATGGACACAGGTGTCTGGCCATCGGCTTTGCAGAGAAAGGCAGGGAGCTGGGCCCCAGGGGCACCCAGGATGTGGCTTAGGGGAGGGAGGTGCTCAGTGCAGGCCAGAGCCTGGCAGCAGGGATAGATATGGAATGTTCCGGAGCTGGGGAAGAGGGAGGGAAACAGTGCTAAGATGGAAAGATGTCCATGCAGCCCAGGATGCGGGACCCGAGGGAGCGCATGCTGCTGTGGCCCTGGCTGTCCAGCTCGTCCCCTCTCACCCACCATTGCCCCTGTCCCACACCCCAGGGCCCCCCCGGCGAGGTCATCCAGCCCCTGCCGATCCAGGCATCTAGGACTCGGCGGAACATAGATGCCAGCCAGCTGCTGGACGACGGGAACGGCGAAAACTACATGGACTACGCGGACGGCATGGAGGAGATCTTCGGTTCCCTCAACTCCCTGAAGCTGGAGATCGAGCAGATGAAGCGGCCCCTGGGCACGCCGCAGAACCCTGCCCGCACCTGCAAGGACCTGCAGCTCTGCCACCCCGACTTCCCCGATGGTGAGGGGCCCGCAGGACAGGGCAGCCACTGGCCTCCCAGCCTCAGCTTCCCCATCTGCTGGGGGGACACCTGGGCCTCCCTGTCATTAACCTCACACAGTCATCCAGAGTGGGACAATGAGGTCCATGGAGGCCGGGCAAGGAGGCCAGGGCTGTGAGGTCAGGCAGACCCAGGGTCTAGTCTTGTCTTAGCCACTTGCCGGCAGGGAACCTCTTTACCCTGAGCCTCAGTTTCCTGGCCTGTACAATGGATAGAAACACCTCCCGTGAGAGGACAGAATTACTGAGACAACACGTAGGACCCTTCTGGCCGGGCACGTAGCAGGCCCCGGAGTCGGGTTAGGTCAGGGTTAGTGTGAGATGTTGCACTTGGGCAAGCAGTCCTTAGACTGTAGAATATCATAAAAATGCAAACCATCTTCCCTCTCGGAAGTACAAGCTTTTCTCTCACAAGATTTGAGGGATGTCTGCGGTTCCAGTAGACTCTGATCCCACGTGCATAAATTTCCAGAGTTCCTTACAGACCATTCTCTGCCTTTCTTTCCCTCCATCGAGTGGGCCCTCCCCCTGCAATCACCGGAACGTGTACCAGCGTGCCGCACGCTCCAGCTGTGCTCTTGGTGAACGAGTTTGTCCACATGTCTTTACGAGCCCAGCAGGAAAAGCAAAAAGTGATAAAACGAACCCAGAGAGGCCCATGTTGGCGGCATTATGGCCCTTGCTGTGCATTTTAACGGCTGGACTGAAATGTCGCAGCAGCTTCTGGAACTGTCCGGGTAGCAGTTCTCATGAATCTGCCTGTCTCCCTCCCTGTCTCTGAAATGCAGGTGAATATTGGGTAGATCCTAACCAAGGATGTTCCAGGGATTCTTTCAAAGTTTACTGCAACTTCACGGCTGGAGGGTCGACGTGTGTCTTTCCTGACAAGAAGTCTGAGGGGGTGAGTACCCTTGTCCCTTGAGTGCTCCCCCAGGGGCCTGTGTCTCACATGTATACAGCTTTAAGACTGAAAACCAGAAATCGATCAGTTTTGTAATCAAGAGTGTTTTTCCGGAAGTAGACCTTAGGTTGTTTTAGAAAGAGTTTTTCTAGCAATAAAATGGTTTGTGCATCCTGGGGTCACGGAGGTTGAAGGCTGCCCCCCGTGTGTTGGATCTCAACCTCTGGTTGGTAAAAGCCTTTCTCAAGTGACTCAGTAGTTTTCCTGACCTGACACCCCCCTAAAACCCTTTGAAGGACTTTTGGGGTAAGCATAATAAAGTGACCTGAAGACATCTAGAAGCTGCCATCTACCTAAATTCTTAGTACCAGCTTATTTATGTGAGGTTGGCTCCAGTCCCTCCTGAAGGCAATGTGTTGTTTCAAAGTCTGTTCAGTCAAGAATTCGGGGTGGGTAACTAGGCTCTGATGCACTGAGATTTGTGCAATGTCAGATAGCCCCCTCTGTGGCCTTTTGGGGACCTGAGCTCTGTGACAGGAATGTGTGTGTGTGGACAGGCGTGTGTGTGCCTGGATGTGCGTGGGAGGTGGATGGGTGTGGACAGGTGTGTGTTACCTCCCTCAAGCATGCACCTGAGGTAGGGGCCACTTTGGCCCAGGACGGGCAAGGGGGACGAGTTTTCCCCTGTCACCAGCTGGGGAGATGACCAAGACCCTGGCCTCAGTGCCTCTGCATCACCCTGAACAAACAGCCCTCCATAAAGTCCCTCTGGGCTGCTTGCTGTACCCTGACCCCCAACAACAGCAGCTGTTTTTCGGAGGCTGTGCTGTCTGTTATGTGGTTTCGGTGCCTGCATTCCTCAGCCACAGCTTCCTAATGGCCTCAGTGTCCCCTGAGAACAGTTTCCTGCTGCAGGGAGAGCAGCGAACTCCCCCCAGGAGAGGCCACCATCCTGTCACTCCCTAATCACGCCCTAAACGCGGTAAGCGCCAGCACCCCCTTGGGTCAGGAGCCCGCTGGCAGCTGCAAGGGCTGTGTCACTGGCTGGGGAGGGGGGTGGGGCTCCTGCTTTATATATGTCCTCCCTCAACGTGCAGTATTAGACTCGATATCCTGCATTCCTAGCAACAAGCCCCCTGTGCTTCAAAAGAGGATTCTAATGCAAGTTCCTTCCATCTTGGTTCCTGTTTGCTTTGGTCTGTCCCGAGGCCCAGATTGGAGTTCAGTTAGAAAAGACGTTGTTTCTCATCCCTCCATCGCTGTCTGTCCTCTGCAAGTGGCCTCGCTGCTGGAGAATTGGCAGGACAGACTGACCCCCAGACAGAGTTTTCCTGGAGAGCCGTGGCTGGTGTTCACAGTACAGCAGCTGGGGTCTCCACGTGTGTTGAATAGCCAGGTGTCCATGGGCTGGGGCCTCAGGCTCGGGCCATGGCTGCTGGGCCAAGGGCAGACAGAGCCCCTCCCCCCGGGTGGCACTGGGCCGTGGGGTCCCTTGGAACTGGAGCAGCTCACAGCAGCAGCCGGGGGTGAAGCCTGCGCTTGCCCGCACCTCTGGACTGTCCCAGGAGGAAGTCACTCACGTTATCTGAGCTTGGCCTCGACAGCTGCAGATCTGGAAAGCAGAGTGAGGGTTCAGGAGTTCTGGGTGGGACAGGAGGCAGGACTGATGCCCCTTTTCCTCCTCTGGGTCCCCTTCTCTGACTCTCTTGGCACAAGGCCAACTTGGAGGAGAAAACCAAGGGGAATGGCTGAGGGTTCAGACTTCTGCTTCCTCGCTAAGAGCGACTTGGGCCTGGGTCCCCAGCAGAGGTCCCCATGGGACCTGGGTCTGTCCAGCCTGGAGACAGGCTGGCCCCGCAGACTCTTTCACTTCACGCCTGCAGTGGTTGGGGCTCACCTCGTTCCTGGGGCCCCGGCCGGCAGGTCTCCCTCCTAGAGGAAGCTCTGTCTTCCACTCACTCATTCATTCCATGGCACCACTGGGCTGGCTCTGTACCTGTGGCCTCAGCCTCTGCAGAAAGCAAATGTCCAGAAGGACCCTCTCCCAGGAACAGGACAGAGTCTGTCCCCTGCGATGAAGTGTGAGGATTTTGTGCTGCAAATGCAGGATGGCGTTGGAGGAGCAAGCACTTGTTCAGAGTGAAGCCCACAGGCCACACGCAGACCCTCAGTCCCGGGGGAGAACCCCCACACCACGCCGCTCACACACATGCACAGCACACTGTACTAGAGGCCGAACATACAAAAGCGGGTGACATGCAGAGCGCGGCCCTGCCCAGGAAGTGCTGCGGCAGGTGTCTGGCGCGGTCTGTCCTCGAGGGCCTTGGCCCACAGGGAGGTGGAGGCCCCTCGGCGAATCCTTGTGCGAGGACAGAGGTCACAGGAGCCGGGGAGCACGCGGGGGTGTTTCTCGTGGACAGAGGAGGAGTAACCCTCCGTTTTCTGTTTCTCTCCCTTCCCGCACCCCTGCCTGATGTGCAGGCCAGGATCACTTCTTGGCCCAAAGAAAACCCGGGTTCCTGGTTCAGTGAATTCAAGCGTGGTAAACTGGTAAGGCGGCCTCTCCCTTCTCTGCGGTTGTCACTTTAAACCTGCCCGTCTCCTATCTTACAGAGTAAAATGGCCCGCTGGCCCAAAGAGCAGCCCTCCACCTGGTATAGTCAGTTCAAGCGAGGGTCGCTGGTAAGTGGCCGCCTCGGGCGCTGCCTGCTTGTGGCTCGGCCTGGCTCACGGCTCTGCATGGGACTAATCTTGCCGTGTGCCACATCTGTTCTTGCCCTTTTGGCCAAACTGCTCCATGTCACGTGACAGTGAGATCCAGCAGAGGTGTGGAGTCCTTTCCTCCCTCCCCCTCTCGCCTTCCCAACGGGAGTTCACGTCCATCTGCGAGCAGGTAGCTGGTTTTCCATTTAGATTTAGGATGTGAGGCTGGCACTCAGGGTGCCCACCACTGGGTATGGTCAGCCAGAGTGATCTGCTGCCCGCAGACAGTATAGCCCCAGCTGCCCAGGAACTGAGATTGGAGACTCCAGCATCCGGAGGTTTTCCACTAAGTCTCATGGACAGGGGATGAAACGGATCCTGGACCATGTAAACTATCCAGAGTTCCTTCCACGACCTCCTTCTACTGCTGTTGGGTTGAGGGGGCATTCTGATTGCAACCAGCCATGGAGTTCTCCATCGCGCCCTGTGCGACTAGTTTGTGCTTTAGATTCTGGGGAGCATCTCTTACATAACCCATCCCCAAGATGAAGAGAAACTGGCGTCCCTGAAGGAACCTGGCAGGATGCTCTTCTGGCCAGTGTGGCGGGCAGAGCCGGGCTGCACTTACTTCTGCCAGGCCCCGGCTCTTCCGCACCATGGAGCATTCTTCCCTGAACACCGTGGGGGTTTGATTTGGGACCTTTTCTGGAATGAAGTGCAAAGTTCTATGCTCTTCTCCTAGCAAGTTAGAGGACCGAGATTCCAGAACATGAACAGGTTGCAGGTGGTGTTTAGAGCCCAGACTTCCTCCTTAATTCACGTCTTCGGGTCTCGTCAGCCCACTCCTACGTGCTCCTGGAGGGAGGTCCTTTTTCTGGTAGAAGCGGCTCCTGGGTTTCAGGGCTCCCGGCCCAAGCCTCAGCCATCGGCCGCTGTGTCCCAGCCCAGCCCAGCCTAGCCCCTCTGGGTGGGCGCAGAGGCTGGTGTCCCCCAGGGATTCAGAGAGCAGTGGCTTCTGGCCGCCTTCACTCTGTTGGCACCTCTGAAGCCCCTTGTTCCTTAACCTTGAGGCATGTCATGGCTAATTATTAACGTCTCATGCCCTGGTCGTTGACTTTCAAGTCACGTGAGCTCCTGTCCAGACACCCTGAAGGTCCGCGCTCGCCTTGGCCGTGTTTCCGGAGGCTTCCACGTGTGTTTTTTTGTTTTTTCGTTTTTGCTGTGGACGCAGGCATCCTTGTCCTCTGTTTTCTCCTGTTTCTCCTCCACCTCGTTGGTGCTGTCTTCAGAAAAGAGCTTCCGGCACGCAGAAGGACCTGAAAGGACAACACTTGGGGAGGGAGGGCCCTGTGACCAGGGCTGCTGGGCTGGGTGGACAGACTAGTGGCAGTGGGCAGAGGGGTCCTCTCTGTGGTCTCGCTGGTCACCTCCTGGGCTTGGCCCTGCCTCCTCCGCTCCTGTGACAGCTCTCAGTCTCCAAGGGGGACCCTTATGCCACCAGGTTATGGGACACCCATTTCCAGCCCTCAGCCCAAGCAGCCCCCCTCTGACCTTGTCCTGTCTCTCAGACAGCTGACACAGGTGGGGGTGAAGGGACAGTGCAGGGAAATGTCACATGCCTTTTGGACTCCCCACTGCCTCGTTCCCAGCTCTCTATGGATGTTGTAAGTGGGCGAGAGGTGGATAGAGGTCTGTCCTCAAAGCGTCAGCACTTCGTCTGGCTGGGCCGCACTGGATGCACCATGTTAAGATTATGTGCAGAGACCCCTTCTTACTAGGAGGGCAGGGTCTCGCCCTGTGATTCCGGGGCTCTGGAATTCTGACCTGGGACCAGGTACTGCTGGGCCTCCTGCCGCCCTGTGGGTGCTGGGACTTCAGGTCCTTCTGCGTCCGTCTGCCCCCTGGCCTCTCCCTGTGGCATGCATCCTTTCTTGAGTCAGTCACGTCTCCTCCCAGAAGGAGCCCTGGACGGCCCAGGCTGCAGGTTGGTATTCAGTTTTCCTCCTCAAGGTCCGACTGTGGGGTTTGCCGTTGCTGCGTCCCAGAGCGTGGAGTTTGCCAACAGCTCTGGGACCCCGGTGTGTTTTCCCACTGCCCTGCTGGGGAGGAGCAGGGTCCCAGGCCCGACTCCACTGCCTTCAGCTCTAATTGTACCTGTTTAAAAAGTGGGCGATAAAGTGTGTTCACCCTCCTTTCTTTTCTCCACTCCGTTTCCAAACACTCATGGTGGCATCGTTTTAAATCCTGCTTCACATGTTCAACAAGGCTCATCTGGGGCGGGCTGGGGGCAGGGTCCCATCAGAGCAGTGCTGGAGTGGCAGCGGTGCAGGGCTGGGCCTGGCTGGCCACAGACGCTGGCCTCTGGCTGCTTTATTCCTGATGCCGGGAACAGGACAGGCCCAGCCTCGTTCATCCTGGCCTTCCCTGCAGAGAGAGGCCTCCGTCCGCCTGGGCTCGGGAGAGATGTGTGCTTCATTCCAGGGGGCTAAGGAGCATTTGAATTCCCAGGCAATGTCAAATGTTTCAGAAAGCTTGAGTTTGCAAAAGAGATGCAGAGATTGGGACTCGCCTCTTGGATGCCCTGTCTGGCCCAGCGCCCTACTGACCTCGACAGCCCTGTCTTTGGACACCCAGCCGGTGACGCTGGGGTAGCCCTTGTCTATCCCTGATGCCTCCTTGCTTTGCTGTTGAGAGTAGGGAGCTTCCAGTGAGGGTCATGTCACTGTACTCCCGGCTGACCCCATTGCACGGGCAAGGCAGGCTGGTGGAGCCACCCAGGCTGCAGGACGACCTGCCCGCCCCTCTGGGGGTCCGACCCTGGGAAGGGGAGTGGTGGCCTTTCTCGAGTTGCTGTGCCAGATGCCATCTCATGACTCCCCGTGCCTCCAGGAGGGTGCCCGGTCACCCCAGCCGTCTGCATAGCCCTGACCCTCACTCAGGCCACCTTCCTGCCTGTTGCGAGGGCCTCACCCCCAGCTGCCTGAGTTACCCTGAGGTCTCCTGACCCTTCTAGCTCTAGATTCTCATGGGCTCCCTGACCAGGACCTTGCACATTCTGGGAGCTGGGCAGACAGTCTTTCATTTACTCACCTAATCTCTTGAGCATTTTCCTTTGCCAGCCTCTGAGCACAATGGCAGGGACATACACACCCAGCCCCTGTCCTCGTGGCACTCATAGCCCAGCAAGGAAGACAGACAGGGCGCCAGGCACCCAGAACACAGGACCAGTGCTGATGTGGAGGGATGTTGGGAGAGCTGTGCATGCAGACAAGGGTGCCCTACACCAGCCTTAGAGGCTGAGGGGGAGGACTCTTCCCTGGGGGCAAGGGTCTGGACTGTGACCCAAAGGTCAAGCAGCGGTAGCACTCCTGCCAGGTGGACTGTGTGCCCGGCAAAGAGAGGAGATGCACAGAGACTCGAGGGCCAGAGGGAGGACGCAGGACTGTTGAGGGAGGGAGAGAAGTATTGTTTAGCTGGGGATGGAGGCTGAGACCCCTGTCCTCCCACCCTCCAGGGAGTGTCCTGCACCCCCATGCATCTACTGGGACAAGCCAAGCTGCGCCTCCTACTCCAGGCAGCCCGGTCCAGTGATGAGGGGTGCAGGGCCCTCTGTGTTTCAGAGATGAGAGGGCCAGTCTTGATGCAGCATGTTCTTGAGGGTGGTTCTCTGTCCATTTAGCACGTACAAGCCAGGCAGATCCTGCTGCCTGGGGAGGAGCCTGTCTCGGGTGGCAGAGGGGAAGGGCCTGGGGGCGGACGTGAAGAGCAGCTGCAGCGGGCTCCATAGGTGGGCGCTGGCCCTGGAGACCGGGCTGCAGCAAACCTTTACCAGGTTCGTGCTGTGGCAGCCGTGGGAGTAGGCGCTGGAGCCCAGGGCTGAGTAAGGTAGACACTAGCCTGGCCCCTCTGAGCTTACAGTCTGGTCAGGAAGACAGACACTGAGATGAGCCAAGGTGGGGGAGCCTCAAGCCATGTAGGCTTCCTGGAAGAGGCAGCACATAAGCCCTGCAGATAAGCAGGAGCCACCAGGCAGAGGAATGGGTGGATTAGTTAAGTCCCTGAAGGACATGAGGTGTGGTTCACTTTGTTCCTGGAACCCCAAGGGGGCCTCGTGCACTGGCCTCAGGGGGCTAGAGGTGCAGTGTGTTTCTGGGTAGCACCCTTGGAGGACACAGCAGCGTGGGTGAGGCCCAGGTCAATGCAGATGTGGGGCTCTGTTGCCGTGTGTGTCCCTGCCCTGCTGATCCCCCACCGTTCCTGTCCCCTATCCCCAGCTCTCCTACGTGGATGCCGAGGGTAACCCCGTGGGCGTGGTGCAGATGACCTTCCTGCGGCTGCTGAGCGCCTCTGCCCACCAGAATGTCACCTATAACTGCTACCAGTCAGTGGCCTGGCAGGACGCCACCACGGGCAGCTATGACAAGGCCATCCGCTTCCTGGGATCCAACGACGAGGAGATGTCCTATGACAACAACCCCTACATCCGTGCCCTTGTGGACGGCTGCGCTGTGAGTGTCGCATGCAAGCCCCGCCCTGCCCCATGCCTCTGTGGGTCATTTCTCACTTAGCACAGATTCACCAGGCACTTGCTGTGTGCCAGGCCCTGAGCTGTGTGCTAGGGGTGCAGGGAGGGCCCCAGAGGAGGCTCCTGCCTACAGGCAGCCCCTGGAGGCTGGTCTTGGAGTGTGGCTGACTCAGGCTGGCCCAGTTCAGATTTGAGCCTCCTTCTCTTTAGACAGGTGTCTCATGGGGTAGAAGTGAGGCTGCTCTGCTCCTGAGAGCGTGGCCATCCTGGGAAACGCTGTGTAGATCCTGCCAGAGGCCGCTGCAATGCTGCAGGAGTCAGCTCTCCTGACAGCCTCGGCCCCCAGGAAGCAAGAGGCTTGCTCGGGCCACACGCGTGTTTGTCATCTTCTCTACCCAGAGTGAGCTGGGTGCCCCCGCTAAAGCTCAGCCCCTCGGGACTGCCCCACACAATCGTGTCCTTGTGTCCTGGGAGATCTTTAGGGTGCAACTGTGCCCTGGGGGTCCAGTCTTTTTGAAATCCTTGAACATGTCCCCCTCTTGTGGCCTTTGAGAGGCTGGGAGTGAGTGTTGCCAGGAAGCCTAGCCTGTGGTCTTACTTCGGCACCACAACGTGGGACCCTCATTCTCTCCACCATTTGTTCCCGAGACTTTGCCCAGCACCCCTCCCCCCAAGGCCAGCTTCCACAGAGGACGGAGCTAGTGTCAGCTCCACCCCTTCCATGCCCAGTGCCAGCCCTGCACAGTGCCAGGAGAGACAGAGCCTTGAGTTTGGCTTTGAGCTTCCTGGCTTCCATGGCAAAAAGGGAAACACTCTAGTGGGCCCAGTGTGTGTATTCTGGGAAAAGGAGCGGAGTGGTTTTCCAGCAGAGGGGAACATTCCCTGGAAGGGAATGTTGGAAAGATGCATTCATTGCAGGACTCTCGGAGGTTAAAGGGCAGGCAGCTTCCCTAATCTGGCTGAGTCAGCCTCCCACTATTGTTGAGAGCTTCCTGGAAGATCCAGCTTCTTCAATACCGGTTTCTCCTGAAGCTCCCTTCCCTACTTGCTCGAGCAGCAAAACTGGGAGAAGTTTTCGGCAATGCCGTCTGACCCAGGACCTGACCTCCTGGTTCTGCCTGCATCCTGGGAGGAGGTCAAGCTGTGATCTAATTCCACAGCAGAAAGCCCTCTTGCCCTGGCCCCGCGTCTTATGGTGATGGGGGTGTGCCGCTATGTCTCGGCAGTATGGGCCGCTGGCTGTGCAGGATGCTCAGCTCCAGAACCATTCCCACTTCTGAGTGGGAGCCACTGTTCCCAGTCTTCACTGAGGCCCGGAGAGGTACAGTGGCTTGACCAAGGTCCCTCAGGGTGTGGCAGAGCTGAGTCTTCTGGCTCCCACCCCAGCATTCTTCCTACCGTGGTCCCTTCCTGGCATCGCTGCACCTCTAATGACACATTGACAGGGATATCACCACTTCCTGAGATAGCCCAGACCGTGGTTACAGAGCCTCAGCATTAGGAAGCTCTTCTGAGAAGTGAGCTAAAATCTGCTTGCCTATCATTTCTTACTTCTGGTCCCTTAGGTCACGCAGAGGAGATGTGGTTCTGGGGCAGGGTTGCCCAGCCTCAGCAGTTCCGATATTTCAGGTCATATGATCCTTTGCTGTGGGGCTGTCCTGTGCCCTGAAGGGTAGTTAGCAGCATCTCTAACCTCTACCCACTAAATGCCAGTGCAACTCCCTACCTAGTTATGAAAACCAAAAATGTCTCCAGACACGGCCACACATCTCTTTGGGAGCAAAACCACCCCATGGAGAATTGCTGTTCTACACAGAGAACAGTCAGAGATTGGAAGGGAGCTCAAACGGCTTCCCCTGTGGGCTTAGAGGACCTGGTTCCTTCCTCTCCCCGTGGAATCCAATGTGCTGCTCGCCAGGAGGGGCTGAGATCCACACGCAGCTCCTCCAAACCATGCTGCCCTCTTTAGAAAATCAGCAGCGTGGGTCTCAGCCGCCCGGCACTGGGAATGCTGCTGCAGGAGAGAAGCGTGCCCCGCTCTCTCGCCCCCGTCCCCATGGCAGTTGTTTCTAGGCTTTGTGGTTGTCCTTTGAGCATCTCTGGATGCAGAAGCAAAGCTTAGGATCCAGGAATAGCCAGACTGGAGGCTGGGCTGGGGGAAGGAGAAGCAGCTCCCTCCCCAGAACATTTTTACTTCTGGAAAGAAAAGATTCCGTCTTTGAAAAGGTGGGGAGATAACGGCTGAGAACAGCATAACCTGCTGATGGAGCAAATCGGCTCTGCAGGCTGTCTGGAGGGGAATCCGGGCAGAAGGAACGGCTGGCAGGAGCCTGGAGGTGGGGTGTGGGCGGTCTGTGGGGAGCAGCTGGCCGAACCCGTGCTCTGCCCACCCCTAGAGCCTGGAAAGTTCAGCCACAGTATGAAAGTCACAGCCCTCCCATCTAATTACGGGGCTCCTGCAGGAGGCCCCAGTGTCCCCAACTTGGCCCAGCGGCAGAAAGGCCTGCCCTGGTCCTGGGAGGCTTGCTTGATTCATGCTGCAATACCAGCCCAAGAAATTGGAATTGGGACACTGGCCTTGTTTGGCTGGGCGGCCTGACAGACGGGCCTGAGAGGAGGCACAAATCTCTGGCGAGAGGTGAGGAGCCAGGCCGCGTAAATCCTGCTGCCGGGCAGCTTTGTGCATCCCGGGGGCCGCTGCGCCATAATGGTTATTTATGCCTCTGGAATAATGGGGTGTGGAGCAGCATGTGCCGCCTGTGTAAATACGCCCCTCTCTGAATGCTCTGGTGATTGGAGTGGAGGGCCCCATCAGTCCAGGTGAAGTCACCTGCCAGCTCAGCAAACGCTGTCTGTCCCTTTCATGGGAAAGGGCCAGATGATGCCAACACGGAGGCTTATTTTCTTGCCCTCGCGTGGATGGAAGAGAAAGCCCAGGCTGCCCAGCGCTGAGGTCGCATGGCTGCTGTGATGCACCCCCTTCCAAAGGCCCAGTGACCTCATTTGATTCCCTGGGTGAGGGAGTAGGGGCCCAAGAAGATGGGGCTTAGACGTAGAGTGGCTCCCTTCTCACGGTGTCCTCACATGGCAGAGAGAGGGCGAGGGGTCTTCTGGGGTCCCTTTTGTAAGGGCCCCAATCCTGTCCTTGAGGGCCCCCACCCTCATGACCTCATCCCCTCGCAAAGGCCCCACCTTCTGATGCTGTCACCTTGGGGGTTAAGTTTCAACATGTGAGTTTGGGGGGACACAGACACAAGGCCCCGGGAGGTGTGTCTGAGCAGCGGCAGAGGCAGGACTGACGTTGTGGTCTCTGCGTTTGTGCCGTGACACTGATGGCCACGTCCTGATGACATTGCCCCCTCGCGGGGATCTCACTGGCTCCCCCTTGCATTTCTCTCAGATGATTTCTGCTGGGGATAGGGCGGTGGAGGGAGACCCTTCTGGAGCCCACATTCCACTGAGGGCATAGATCTGGCCTCAGTCTAAGGTAGCAAAAGCTACTTGTCCAGGACGGGTTGGGAGGGAGTGTCACATGTCACAGGAAAGATGTAGACATCACAACCGCATCCTGGTGGAAGTTGAGGGGCGGCAGGGCCAGTTCAGCCTCATGGGTGAGTGTCCCGAACACTCTGAGTTGAAGGTTGGTAGCTTTGGGGACCAGAGCAGCCTGGCACCGTTGCTGTGGCCCGAGAGGGAGGGGGCCTCTCCTGGGAAACTCGTTTCTGAGGCTCATTCTCCTAACCGTAGGGTGGGGCTTACATCCCGCCCCCAGGGTTGTACTGGCCCATCCAGGAGGCCGCTCGTTCACAGGCGTATGACACAGGCGCGTGACACGGGCACTTGCGGGGGACCTCACACTTAGAAAAGCCCTGGCTCGGTTCAGCGCTCTGCTGTCGCCATCTTGAAATTCTTTATTTTTGCACAAGGAGCCCCTCGTTTTGGTTTTCAGTGGATCCTGCGTGTTCTGTGGCGGTCCTGGCAGGGGCAAATAGCTGTGCTGTAACAGGAGGTGTCCCAGCCAGGCGGGGAGGGGGGTCCTGCAGGGCTGTGGCCCTACGCCATGCTTCCCGCTGCGTGCGAGGTCTTGGGAGAGATTTGACACCTCCCGGACTGTGCAGAGGACTAATGGGATGTCGTGGGAGTTAAACGCATGCCCTGGGCGGCCATGCTTCCTCCGACACTTGCCCAATGCACAGGGGTGCATCGGCTGCCTGTCTGGCTGTCCCTGGTGTGAGTGGGACCCAGAGTGCTGGAGGTCAGAGCTGGGCAGGGGTGCTGGGTGGTCTCTTAACCCGGAGAGGCCCATTGCTCTAACCACCCTCTTCCTGTCTTCCTCTTGCCTAGACCAAGAAAGGCTATCAGAAGACAGTGCTGGAGATCGACACCCCCAAAGTGGAGCAGGTGCCCATTGTCGACATCATGTTCAATGACTTCGGTGAAGCATCACAGAAATTTGGATTTGAAGTGGGGCCGGCTTGCTTCATGGGTTAGGAGCTGCCGAGCCCCGGTCTCCGGAGAGCAACCTCGTGACCTCAGCACGCCCTTTGTGAGTGTCCTGTGCACGTTCCGATCCTGGACAGTGAAGGTTTCTCGCTCCCCTCCCTCCCGACTTCATCTGTGCCCCAGCACCACGTGGCGCGGGACCCCAAGCCCAGAGACAGAAGAAAGGGAAGGAGCCGCCGAGTCCCCGCCCTGGAGCCGAATCACATGACCTAGCCCACCACAGCCTCTCGGCCACGCCCCACATCTGTCTACACCCCACGCCACAGGGGAGGGAGTGTGCAATGCTTCTGGCTGCCCAACCTGTGTGTTCACCAATAGTTTGCAGGGGGTGGGGGCTGCAATATTGGGATATCACTTTTTAAAAAAATTCAACTCGAAGATGTGTATTTCCCCTGACCTTCAAAAAATGTTCTGAGGCAAACCCTGTAAAGGTCATACCACCGTGGCCAAAGCCTCCGTCTTTAACAACCCTCAACACGATCCATTTAGAGGCCAAATGTCATTTTGCATGTGCCTTTCCGATGGATTAAAGGTGCTTATGTTTTTGTGAGTTTTAAGTAAATATTTGTAATGTATTGTTATAAATGTTAAGTGTGCCTGACTTTCAACCATGCATGGAAAGCCAGCCTCACTGCCACTGGGAGAGTGGGCAGATGGGGCGAGGTATTGATTCTGGGTTGCTATCCAATTCCGATCAGAAATTGGAAGTCTCCCCAACCCCACCCCAGCAAGATCGTGCAATAAATTGGAAATTTGCCCAGCTCATCAAGAATTCATGCTGCCCGTGAAAAAGCAGGTGCCAGTCCTCCTTTTCAGAGAATACTTTGATTAGCTCTGGATTTTTTTTTTTTTTTTTTTTTATGGGGAGGAGAAAATAAGTTGATACTTTTCCTTTTCTACATGCACTTAGATTAAAACACAGGCTTAAATTTATTTTAATTGCTTCCTTTTTTTCCATTTTTCTTCCTGCAGAGCTTGATGGGAGAATGTCCAGGGCAGGGAAACCACATTTTCTGTAGATGATAATTAAATGAAAATTGGTGCTTATTTTTTACACTTCTCTTTTGTGGTGCTATCTGTTTTAAGATCTCCTTGAAGGCAACACTGGGGGTACCCGGCCGAGCCCCATTCTCCCAGCTTCCTTTATTCTGGGTATTGCCTCCACAGTCCGAGTTTTTGCCAAGGACGTGAGGATAAATGGGCGTCCCCTTCCTCCGCACTGGGCACGGGAGCCAAGCGCACATGCTCCTGTGCTCTCCCATCGTGGTGAGTGCGCTCCTGAGGCCCGAACAAGTATTGGGTTGTGCTTATTTGGTTTGAAAACACACACACGTGAAATAAAGACTCTTCCTGCACTGTACATGGTGTAATCATAGCAGATTGTATTCGATCGCCGAATGTTTGTGGTGCTAACTTCTGTGTTTAATTCAAGAACTGCATGGAAGCCGTTCCGCTGTCCCACGCCTGTCTCTGCAGGCTGCTTTTGCTGCGGCAGACAGAGAAAGGTGCAGTTAACTCTGTGAGTCTCTCCAGGGCCACCAGCGGTGCTTTCCCATGTGAGCGAGGTGGATTTCCATCCGCACGTGTCCTGGATGCGGGTTTCAGCCGCTCCCGTGCTCGGGGCTGGTAAGGTTGCCTCTGGGTGTCCTTCCTCCTCCTCGCTGTTGAAGGCAAGGGGGCTGCTTTCTGTGGGCAGGAGGACCCGAGGGACCAGCAAGGAAAGGCAGTCCCTTTACTGTGAAAAGTGGCCCTGGTGTGATGTCCTTTCCTTCCACTGTGGGGAAAGTGAGTCGGGCCCCCTGGGAGCGAGCTGTCCCAGCTCTGGTGCTGTCCCCCCACCCCACCCCATCGGAATGTGGTTCCAGCTTAGGAAACCACAGCAGAGCGACCCAGGAGTAACAACACCACCAACACCAAATTCCCAAGTTTCCCTGGAAAACAAGTCTTGTTCTCATTCTCTTGCCAAAGAAAAAAAGTCTGGCTTGGAGATTCTCTAGAATGCAGGATGCCAGCGTGCACCAATGACCGTCACCTCCATCTCTTCAAAAGAAAAGCCATATCCAGGATTGTCATGTGATGCCCATGGATTTCGTCTAGGTCATGTGATTCTGTTCTGATTTCTCGCCCCCCTCCCATTTGTCCTTTTATTCTGTTGTTTTCTTCCTCTGTTGGTCCCTTCAAAGTTGTTATAATTTGTACTGAATTTCGAAACGTGTCCCGTTCTCCCCAGACCACTTTAGCTACGGTATATTGCAATAAAATTACTTCTTATATTTGCAGAAATTCTTTTGGCGTAATTCTGTTTTTTCCTCCCTATATAAAATTGGAACAATGTTGGTGAAAAGAAAAAATGGTAAACAGGAAACCAATGATAAAGATCCTAGGACATTAGGCCCCTTAAAATATAATGTCAAATGACACTTGGTACATTTCCTAAAAACCCAGTAGACATGTCATAAGCTTTGACTGTAATGCCCAGGGAAGGTTGTTTTCAAATATTTCAAACCTGTGTGACAAAGGAATGACTGTAATACTTTTTCAATAAATCGAGTTGACTGTCTCCACCGTCAACAGATGTGACTGGCTGTCTTCTTACGTGTGACCAGGCCCTTCCTCTGCACTGAACTGGTGTCTAATGCACACGATCCCAGGACACTAAGAACTCTCAAAGTAATGGCAGTGCTCACAGGAGGAAGGGTCACCCTCGGTGGTACTCCCCCCTCAGAGGCAGCGGGAGGGGCCTGGCCGTGGACAGCTCGGCTCCTCCGGGAGGACGTTAGAACGTGGCTGGGAGCCAGCCCTCAGCCTTTCTAGGTGGATTTCTGCAACTCATGGCATCCAGACCTTGCAGTGTGCGGGCCTCACGTTTCACCTGGGCAGTTGGCACCTGGGGGCGGGGGTGTTCCTGGAAGCTCTGTAGACAAGACATTCTGGCTCCTTGTGGCTGGCGGGGTGGCGTGTGGCTCGTCTCTGCCAGTGACCTTGAGCACACAGGACGTGCACCTCTTCCAGTCAGGGGGAGTGGCTCCCTCTTCCATGTCATCAGCCACGTTCCACGGAGAGGCTGTGTCACCAGGGGGTTCCCAGAGTGAGCCCCAGCCAACCCACGATGAACTTGTAGGACGGGTGGGAGAAACATGTTTTTGTTGTTTTCAGGCACTGATTTGGGGACTGTTTGTTATTATTGCAGCGTAACCTAGACTAGCGGTTCTCAAAGCGAGCTCCTGGGCCAGCAGCAACAGTGTCACCTCTTTAGAATGCAGATTCCTGGGCCTCACCCCGGAGGTACTCCTTTGGGGGAGGGCCAGCAATCTGTGTGTTAACGAGGGCTTCGGGTGACTCAGAAGCACATTCAAGTTTGAGAATCACGGTCCTAGACGATCCCAAGTCATGTAAGAATCGGGACTTGAGAGGCAGGAGCTGCTCACGCAGCAGCAGAAGGGAAACCTGTGGCATCGCTCACGTCAGGTGGTGCAAGTGGAGCTGCCATCAGAGGACGCCAGGCCATTGACCCGCATCGCACAGAAGCAAAACGTTGGGTAGAATTGTTTCTGATATCTGTGATAGCTTGAAGGCAGATTATGAGCTAATGACTTGCAGCTTGGGGGAAGAGGGGGGAAATAAAAAGACTGTAATGCGTGCTGGTTGCTCTCGACTGCATCCGGCAAGGTGTTGCCTGAGAGACGAGAGCCCTGGAAGGAACCACCCGGGACTGAAAGGAAGCGGTCCCCACACAGGAGGATCTGCAGGGTTGGAGGAGGCAACCGTTTCTCAGCATCAACAGTTTAAAGATCGAATTGAGAAGTGCTTGGAGGGACAAGGGCCGGCTGCAGCTCAGCCCTGCTGCATCTCCGTAGCACATCCATGTCTTGAAATCTCAGAATGGGTTAAGGTGGCACGTAACCAACCCATTCGAGTTGGAGACAATGGCTCAGGACTTGGACACTGATAGTGTGCCTCCTGACACAGTCTGACTGTCCCTGTGGTAGAATCTAGAGGGAGAGAGACAAGCAGTTCAGGGAGACAGGCCCCATGTGTTGAGAGGAGCCTCGACGTGGGCACTGGCACGTGGAGGGCAGCCGGTGTCATCTTTGAGGGGTGTCCTGCAGGAAGAGCCTCAGGCCTGGTCTGGAGGAGTTGGTGGCTGAGACTGGCCTGGACTGTTGCAGGCAGCGTGTGGCAAGAAGACTGCTCAGTCCCCCGGGGGCTGCACCCCCCCATGCGGTGCCCCTCAGGGATGGGCAGGGGAGGCCTGGGACAGCGGGGGCCTCCTCCCAGGGAGCAGAGAACAGGGCAGATACTTGACCCTGGACCAGGACAGAGGAGGGGCCGGCTGGGGCAGAGGCTCCTTCCTGGGAGCCGCCATGCACGCATGCCTGGGTTTTTCTCTTCATACCTGGCCCCAGACCTGGACAGAGCGATTTCTAAGAACAGACTTAACACTTGAATGCCACCACCCAGGTTAGAGTGCCCTGGGGAAAAAAATGGTTCTTGTCCCCTCCGCTGGGAGCCATGACGCTGGCTTATTTGAGGCAAGTACCATGAATTCAGCCTCCAAGGTCAGCTGGCTCAGGAAAGGGGGAGGGAGAGGGGAGGGTTAGGGCTCGGGCTCCACAGTGACACCTGCCTGGGGTGAGGCCCTGTGGGGGGTTCACTTCTCTGTGCATCTGTCCTCATACCTAAAATCTGGCTGGTGAGCGCACCTGCCAGCAGGCTGGGCTGGAGGCCTCAGTGCCCTGCCTGGTGCCCAGGAGGGCTCGTATGGGCTGGACTCAGAGCCCTCACCCGCCTGCACCCCACTGGCTATCATGTCCCCAGAGATTCGTCGGTGGGAGCTCACCATGCACCTTAGCCGCTGCCAGCCTGCCTACGTCCCCTGAAGAGTGAGGGAGACAGGATGCCTGCTCCCCACTCATAGTCTCAGAAGAGAGGACCTCCCCCCACCATGACAACAGTGGTGCCCAAGTCTGGCGCTGAGTGTCGCAGCTCAGGATCATGTGTGGGACGCCCCAACAGGAGCTGGCTTTTGGCTTAGTAGCGGTCCTTTGGTTTTTAGCATTCCTGGAGAGTCGAGTTGGTCCTTGCTGGATGAGGGAAACCATCTGTCCCCACAGAAAACAAAGCAGGTCATTGCTCAGCGTCTGGAGCTGGAATTAATTCAAGCCCCCCTTCATCTCAGCGCCAGTGCCTCGTGTCCCAGGTGTGCCCCCGGCGTGGCCGAGTGGAAGGAAGGAGGCAGGAAGGGACTGCGTGCACATCGGCTCTGCAGGGGACGGGGCTTTGGGATGGGCTCCAGGTGTGGGCGGATGTCCCTCCGTATATGCCAGGGCCCTTGCTGACCCCAGCCTGCTCGGGCAGTGTCTTCGTTTGGGCCTGAGGTGAGACACCTGCGTAGATGGGACATGGAAATGCCGGTCTCTCGGCCACCCTGGCTGGCTGGCTCCAGCTGCATCCTCAGGCACAGGCAAGCTGCAGTGGAGTGTGGCCATGCCAAGAGTGCTGTTCATTACCCGTCCTGAGGGGAGCCATGTCTTCTGGGTGGGGTGGGGAGACTGTCAGCTCTGGAGGCTTCGCCAGGGGGACAAATCCTGGAGGGAGGAGCATGACCCCTTCTGCTGTCCTTGCCCAGTGCCCCTCCTGCCCCAAGCAGTTCTGTCCCCAAGAGTCTGTCCATCCATTCCTTCATCCATTGAGTGGCAATCTACCGACGGCCTGCTGTGCGCCAGGCCTGGGGCAGCATGGGCTGTCACTCCAGTGGGAGCAGATGGGTAAGACCCACAAGGAAGATGTGGAGTGTGCCCAAGGGACGAGAGCTGTGGAGAGTGTGTGGGGAAAGTGTGTGGTGTGTGTGTGTGTGTGGTGTGTGCAGTGTGTTTGTGGTGTGTAGTGTGTGGTGTGTGTGTGTGCGTGTGGTGTGTGTCTGTAGTGTGTATGTGCTGTGTGTAGTGTGTGCGTGGTGTGTGGTGTGTGTGTGCGTGGTGTGTAGTGTGTGTGTGCGTGGTGTGTGGTGTGTGTGTGTGCGCGTGGTGTGTGTCTGTAGTGTGTATGTGCTGTGTGTAGTGTGTGTGTGTGCGTGGTGTGTAGTGTGTGTGTGTGCGTGGTGTGTGGTGTGTGTGTGTGTGTGGTGTGTGCAGTGTGTTTGTGGTGTGTAGTGAGTGGTGTGTGTGTGTGTGCACGTGGTGTGTTTCTGTAGTGTGTATGTGCTGTGTGTAGTGTGTGCGTGGTGTGTAGTGTGTGTGTGTGGTGTGTGGTGTGTGCAGTGTGTTTGTGGTGTGTAGTGTGTGGTGTGTGTGTGTGCACATGGTGTGTGTCTGTAGTGTGTATGTGCTGTGTGTAGTGTGTGCATGGTGTGTAGTGTGTGTGTGTGTGGTGTAGTGTGTGTGTGTGGTGTGTGTGTTGTGTGTGTGGCGTGTGTGGCATGTGTGTGGCATGTGTGTGTGTGGTGCATGTGTAGTATGTGGTGTGTACTGTGTGTGTGTTGTGTGTGTGGCGTGTGTGGCATGTGTGTGTGGTGTGTGTGTGTGTGGTGTGTGTGTGGCATGTGTGTGTGGTGTGTGTGGTGTGTGCATTGTGTGTGGCATGTGTGTGGCGTGTGTGTGGCATGTGTATTGTATGTGGTATGGGTGGTGTGTGTGCTTTGTGTGATGTATGTAGTGTGGGTAGTATGCGTGTGGTGTATATGGTGTGCATGGTGTGTGCGTGGCACAGCATGTGCCGTGTGTGGTCCGTGGTGGAGGTGGCTGACGTCCCCCGGGTGACCAGCAGGCGGGTGCAGGCTGAGCGGGCAGGCGGGGTGGGAGGCAGCCCGGGTGGCGGCTTGCGGAGGGGACACCGGCGGGGCCCAGGCAGGCTGGAGGAAGGTGGGCCGTGGAGCAGGACGGGGCAGGGACAGGGCTTGTGGGCCACAGAGTAGCCACGGGTTTCATACACAGGGACGTGAGGAGGCGGTAGCAGGTGTCCCGCCCTCCACTGCTGCAGGCTCGTGCTGGGGCCGTGCAGACGAGCATCGAGGGGCGATGGGCAGAGGCGGGAGAGCGGCGGGCAGGCGCTGGCAGTGACCGGACGAGTGTCGTTGGCAGCGGGCCCTCGGCCAGAACAGCAGATGCTGGGAACTTGAAGGCGGAGCTGTGGGATTTGCTGAGGAGGAGGCAGGAAGAGGGAGGAACAGGGAGTCGAGGGGACACGATGTCCCCATGGTGTCACATGAGCACCGCACATGAACATGCACAAGCACACACTCACCCAGGGACAGCTGTGGCCTGGTGGGAAGAACGGTGAGGACGGCTGCCTCAGTGGCCCGGGGGAAGCCTCTGCTCAGAGCTTCCCTCTGCCCGACGTAAACGGGACCCATGAATGTGGGGCACTCCTGCCACGTGACCAGACGCCCCTCCCCCCAGTGTCCTGCAGTCCTCTCTGTGGGGTCGAAGTGTATTGGGAGGAAGGTTGGGGTGTCCCTGCAGCTGGCCTAAGCCCGGCCACAGGGCTCTTTAAAGCTGCCCAGGGCTTTCCTAGTAAAGGCCTCACGTTGCTCCGGCTGCCCCGGGAGGCCGGATGGAGTCTGCAGTGGGGTG